GGAGCGCTCTCCACAGCCCCGAGAGGAAGGTGCCATCAACTGCTCCGCTTGTCACACGGGGAACCCCAGGCTCTGAGAGGTTCCATGGCTTTTCTGAAGAGGCTCAGCAGGGCAGGGGTTGGCTCTGAACCCAGGGCTCCAGGGCCTGCACCCACCCCTGCCTACTCTCTCTCCTGCCTCTGAAGTGTGGGCTCCACGCTGCTCAGCCTCCCTCTCCTCCCGGCCAAGGACTCGGAGAGAAAAGTTCCATTTTTAAAAACTGGCTAAAAGTCCTGCAAAGGCCCAGAGGCCGCCAAAATGGGAAAAAGATGCTCATTGGGAACAGAACTTCCCAAAGGGGCCAAGGCTGCCCAGTCCTATGTGACCGGCGGAAAACTTGAGAAGTTCACCGTCCGGGCTAGTGGGACAATTGGTTATGCTCTTGGGCAAATTGCTCCCTCCCCCAAACTTTCCTTCCTTGTGCCCTGCCCGCCCCTGGCTGGCGGGTGGGAAGGGGCCGGTGCTTGAGACCCCCTCAGAAGTCTGCCGGGCAGTGGCTCCGATGGCTCAGCCTGGGGACTCTGCCCAGGCCCGCAGACTTCTCAAGGAGAAGGAGCCCTTCCTTACGCCTTGTGGGGCAGTTGGGTTGGCTGGGCACCCCCAGCCATGTTTTTCACCTCCTGGTCTCAAGCTGTCCCCCTCCCAGGTCCCCTGCATTTGCCACCCCAGGCTGGGCAGGATGTGGACATCGTTCACCGAATGTCCTGCCTGGGCTGCCATTCAGGACGCCACTCCACCCCCCTGGCTCTCTCCCATCCAAACAGGCTAAGGAGATTCACTCCCATCGCCTTGGCCTCTAGCTACTGCTCAGAATCACCACCGGCCCCTGTGACCCGGGCACACCAACCTGAAGCCCTCTTCCTATGTAGGGAGACCCACCTCAGGGGCCTGACCCAGCCATGGGGAGAGGGCCCCGGCTAGGCTAGGCTCTCGCTTTGGCTAGGTCCGTGTGGCCATGGAGGGCCAGCAGTCAGGGCAGTCCCTGCGGCGGGGCTGGCCCGGGAGTGGAGGGGCTGAGGAGTCTGCTCCTTCACCAGGGAGGAGGGCCAAGACACTCATTCTCATCCATCCCCTCACACCTTCAACATGCCATTAGTGAGCGTGGTGGGCAGGGGCCGGCCCTGCGCCTGCCTCTGTGAGCAGGCGGGCAGGGCTCAGTTTGACGAGTGGAGGAGTGGGCGCTCAGAGCAGTGGGCAGGCTTTCTGCACATGGCAGTCTTGGCTTGGTCCAGAACTGAGGGCAGGGCTCACAGGCGGAGAGCGATGTATTTGAAGTAACATCCCCTTCAGCCTCGATTCATAAACACGGGTGTGGGTGCTGCTGGGCTCCTGCCCCAAAGGAGTGGGGTGGAGACTAAGTGGGGTCTGGGTGGGCTGTTCTGGGTTGGCAGCACAAGTGGCTGGGGCAGGGGCATTCAGAGGGAAGCAGAAGCAGGTGGGTTCCGCCACGAGGACTCAGAGCCCAGCCAGGTCCCGCGGGGTACTGCTCATGCTGCTGGCACCCCCTTCGCATGCCACCCCCTCCCCACGCCTCGCATGCTGATGCCCGCGGCCCCTGCATGCCATCTTCTGTGACTGGTGGTCTGCCCTGCCCAGCCCCCAACTCTGACAAGGGACAGAGCCAGTCTTCAGTCGGACTCAGGAGGCCGACTGGCACCTTGAGCATAGCCCCCCACCCCCCCACCCTGCTTTCTCCCGGATTGGCTTCTGGAAGTTGTGCCCTGCCTGGTCCCCCCGCCTGATGCTGCTCCCCAAGGCATTGGGCCGCCCTGAGGACCAGTGAAAGCCTTGGAAGCTAACGTCCCCGCAAACAAAGGCCCCAATATAATACGCCCGCTTCTAAGAAGGCTGCCACCAAGATGGTGGCCCTGGAGCTGGCAGGTTTCCATGGTATAGTCTCCAGCCCCCAAGGGGCTGCCCCTTCCCCCTGACGTTGCCAAGGTGGGCCCCTGAAGAGGGCCTGGAACCAGGAACACTCCTGGATTGCCCCTGGAACCCAGTTCTCGGGGAAGGAGGCCATGGGTGATGCCATCAGCTTCCTGGGAACCCCCAAGACCTCTCATGGGCTTTCTATGTGTGCCTCCCACCCTTTGTCCCCCACCCCCACGGAGCCCTAGGCGTGGACAGGCTTTGGGTGCTCCCTGCCCATGCCCCCTGTGTACGCGGCTCTCTCCCTCCTACCCACCCCCAGCTCCAGCAGTACCCGAGGCTGCGGGAAGAGATGGAGCGCATCGTGACCACCCACATCCGGGAGCGCGAGGGTCGGACCAAGGAGCAGGTGAGGCCCACAGCCCCTGCGGGCTGAGCTCCATGTTATGGCCCGCCGCTACTGTCCCTGGGCTTGCTCCCCTCCCATGCGTGTGTGCGCAGCCCGCTCTGCCTGCCTCTCCCTTGTCCCTCCCCAACCCTCTGGCGGCCAGTCTTTCTGGTCAGTCCTCCTTGGGTCTCTCTGTCTGCTGGCTCTGTCTGAATCAGCCCTCCCTCCCATGCCCACCTCCTTCCTCTGATGAAGCCACTCCTCAACTATTTATTGCCCCGACCACAAACTCACTCCCCCAATGCTGCCTCTGGGCTGGGGGACCAGCGATGACCAGTCCTCTCTGTCCACTCTCATCCACTAACTACCCCATACCTCCCTGCTCCTTGTTGGGCTCCCTCCTGTCAGTCACGTTGGTGGGCTTGATGGGGCCTAGACCCCTTACTGGCCCTTTAAAAGAGTGTCTTTTGTTGTTTTTCATGATAAAAGTTCACAGTAATAAACATTCGGGTGATATTGATACGCTTGCATTGCAAGTAAGTATCCCTCCCTCCATCGGGAAGGAGCTTGGTTAAGTGTTCGGTGCCTAGCCGAAACCTTGGCCATTCTCCTCCACCCACAGAAGAAAGACCTGCTGATCCGCTTCCAGAAAGACTGACCCCAAACCAAACAGCTCCGCAGAGCCAGCGCTGACCCGTCTCGACCCCTGTGGGTTTCCCAGACTGTGACTGTCTGACCAGAGCAGACAGCCCGGCCTTTCTCCCTCGAGCCCCCGGTGGTTTCAGACGGCCAACCATGCGACCATATGCCACCGGGGCGCCTAGCCAGACACAGTCTAGAAAACCGGGCTCTGCTGCGGGGGGTGGCTATGGGCCCCCAGCCCCCACACTCCCCACGAGACAATCAGGACTACCAGGGTGCTGTGCCCCCATCCAGATCTTTTCTAAGAACCTGTGTATACAGTCTCTCTTCTCTGAAGGAGTCCCGACCAGATCTAGCACCGACTGCGCCTCAGATAGGTGACCCGTCCTGTTCCATCGGACTGCCTTCCCACCAGTCTCAGTGAGCAGAAACCCTGCAGGGCCCCCACCCCCCGAGGCGCAGTGAGGAACACCCCAATCTCACAGTCAGCAGTGGGGGGTCTAGGTTGGAACCCCATGGCCTGCACGCAGGACTTCCTCTTCCTCACGGCACAATGATGGACCCCTCCCCAAGGCGCCATTTCTAAGGGGGATCTTTCCACAGCCAGAACGTTGGGCCCTTTCTGCATTCTTTCAAAACAGCCAAGCAGCAAAGTGCTTTGTCACTTAGAGGGTAGGGTCCCCTATGTTGAGGATCCCTGGTGACGCAGTGGTTACACGTTGTGCTGCTAATTGCGAGGCTAGCGACTCGAATCCACCAGCCCCTCCACAGGGGAAAGATGAGGCTTTCTTCTCCTATCAAGCTTCACAGTCTCAGACACTCACAGGAGCATTTCTCCCCTGCCCTGCAGGGTTGCCGTGGGTCACGGTGGACTCAGTGGTAGTGCATTTGGTCATCTATTTTACCTTTTTTTTTTTTAACAAAAACATTTTATTGGGAGCGAATACAGTATCGTATCATTCCATAGTTCAATAGCCTCAAGCAGGATCATACGATTGCTGCCACCATCAGTTTCCAAGAACAGAAAACACCGAGAAGGGACTTTTTCTTTTTGAACTCCTTGACATCAGCTCTTTTGACGACCCACCCCCCACCCTCCTGTTTCACCTCTGGTTGGCACCCAATTGATCTCTTTTACAAACTCCACTGCGTTGAGCCCCTGTCCACCTCCATGCCTTTGCTCACGGGATGCATGAGAGAGTCCTAGGGCATTTGGATGTTACATGATGCCAGGCTGCCCTCCTTGACATTCCCACTGTATGTAAGAGAGCTCCCCTCCCTGCAGCACGCCCCCACTCACCGGCATCAACACGGATTCTGTACTGGATAGGGTAAACAGAGAGCCTCGTTGTGACTTTGACTTGCATTTCTGTTATTATTCATAAGAGTAAGCAGTTTGGGTTTTTTTTGTTTTGTTTTTACATATACTTTGGGCTGTCTACGTTTCTTTCTTTTTTTTTTTTTTTCTGTCTACGTTTCTTATGCAATTGCCCATTCTTTTTCTTTGGCTATTCTGACGTGCGTGGCCTGCCTTGCTCTCACTGATTTGTGGGGGTTCTTGGTTTATTATGGACGCTAAGCTTTTCTACGCCCCGTAAGAATTTTCCTCCCAGCTGGTCATTCCTCTTTAAACTCTGTGCGGTGTCTTTTTCGTTTGCCCTCTGGCCCGTGTGCCCTGCAAGGTCATGCTCCTCATTGACATTGAGCTGGCTTACATGAACACCAACCACGAGGACTTCATAGGCTTTGCCAAGTGAGTGCTCCTTGGGTAGAGTGCAACACCTATTGTGTGAATTGGGGGGCTGGGGTGTGCATGTGTAGGACCCAAACCTGCTGGACTAGCCCTCTGAGAGGCTGCTGAGATCCCTCCCCTCCTTCCCCTTAGTGCTCAGCAGAGAAGCAGCCAGATGAGCAAGAAGAAGGCTTCTGGGAACCAGGTGAGCAGGCCCCAGTGTCCCAGCCTGAGGGATGGACACCAAGCTCTGAGAGCCCCCTCCCCTGAGGGGAAGGGTCCTGTGGGGGCCAGGGAGCCTGCCAGCGGCCAGCCACAAGCCTCCCACCCTACCTCAGTAACCCTCTCTCCTCTCTCCCTATGCTTCTCCTGGTTGCTATGGTTACCTCTTTGCAGGATGAGATTCTGGTGAGTACCAGGACCGGGGCTCTTGGCTTGTGTAGTGAGGGGCGGAGGGGACTGATTGGTACGGGGGACAGACGGATGGACGTACAGCGGGAAGAGGGCCCCCTCTGACTTGAGCTGCCCCCTTACAATAGTAAGTGGGGGTTCCACATATGCTCTCAGGCCAGAGGCAAGGCCTAGCCACACACATAGTCCTGTCAGTATGTCCAACACAGTGCAGGAGCCAACCATCTGCTTCAGGTGGCCAGACCAGGCAGGGAGGCGGGTGCAAAAAATGCCCAGCAGAGGCAGAGCACAGAGTAGGTGCTCTTTAAGCATCTGTTGGGTGGATGGGTGATGGATGGGAAGGGCGGATGGCAGATGGATGGAAGAAGGACATGCCTTTAAGAGGTTGACAGCCAGCTCCACCAGAGTGGGGTGAGGAGCACTCACTCACTCACCTGGCTCCCTGCTCTCTTATCAGGGCCCCTTCTCAATGCCCTTTACAGAGTCCCGAGCTTTGTCCTTCTCGTAGCTTCTTTGTACTTATCTAGCTGCGGGTGTGAGTGTTGGCGTGATGTTTCCTGCCCTCCCCCCCCCTCCACGTGGCAGGGGCTGGGGCTGTCTTGTTCATCACTAGTCCTCGGGCTCAAGTCTAGAGCCTGGCACACAGTAGGTACTTAGCAGAATAGATACTCACAGGTGCCAACCCTGTGCTTGGCCCTGGGCAGGAATCAGAGGCTGCCTTTGCCTGGTGGAGAGCTGGTCCTGCAGGCAGGGCCCCAAGCAGGGTGGGAGTTTGGGGATGTAGAAGGTCCCTGGTGTCTGGGCTCTGAAGTGGGGTTGGATGAGCGGGGAGGAGGGCAAACTGGGACTGGCCAGCAGGAGGACAATGGTGCAAGTCCTGGCAGGCAGAAAGCAGAGTGGTGAGGTCAACTGGTCAAACCCCGGGACAGGCACAGGAGAGGAGCCCTTGGGATCTAGCTACCGTGTTCTGTGAACTGATGAGACCGCTGTGTATTCAGCTTAGCGACAGAGAGGCTGCGTGATTTGAGCTCCTGTTAGAGTCTTGGGGGGTCAGGAGGGCTCCAGGCGGGTTTTGAGGACCGCAGAAACAAGGCGAGGCCTGGGGCTTTCCTGTCAGCCCCCAGCGGTGAGTGAGTCAGGGAGGGGTGAAGCAGCTCCTTTACCCTCGGTCTCAGGCCTGGCCCATCACCAGGGCCTGGGCAGTGACCCTGGTGGGTGGCGATGGCTCCAAACAGTTCTGGGGACAGCTGCTCTCTGTCGTGAAAGAAGAACTTTGCCTTCAACTCTAAAACTGGGCCCTTCCTGGCTCAGCTTCTGTCCCTTAACTACCCAACCCATGTCTTGGGCCCGCGCGCCCAAAGGCTCTTAGGATATAGCTTTCACTGATGCCCGCCACCAACACTGATGGATCTCTGAGTGTTTGCCAAACGCCCTGCGATGTGCTGGGCTTTACCAGTGAACGAGAACGCTCACAGCTCAGCAGAGGAGGCTTACACCCACAGATAATCGCACACTTGGTTAAGTTCAGGGACGACTTGAGGGAATGATGACGAGTGATCATGGGGGTTCTGGTCCATGCTGGAGAGCCAAGGAGGGTCTGTCTGAGAATGTGACTCTGAGCTGGTACCTGAAGGGTGAGTGTATCGGCAAAAGGGGATGGGGGTGGGGGCAAAGTCCTTTCAAGGCAGAGGCAACACTCTGTACAAAGTCCCTGAGATCATGGAGAAAAGCCTTAGAAGAAATCGGATCTTAAGCTGAAAATGAAGTTGCATTTGTCTGACCCCATCTGCCGTATAAACTGCTTGCACACTTTCAGTGATGGGGAACTCACCTCCTCCTGAGGCCACAGGTCCCTTACTCAGAACGCTCGGACTGTCGTCCAAAGGTTCTCTAGCCCGAGTGGACCTCTGTCTCCCTCTGTTTCCCAGTCTCTTTGCTTGTGGTGCATGCCAGGGCAGGTCTGGCCCCCACCTTCCCTGACCAATCAGGCCTCCAAGAGCTGGGGAGGGGGTGGGCTTTTGAATGCATCTCTGCCTACCATGGGGTCCTCCATGGGGAAGCCTGTCCCCTGCTCACTGACCACCACCCTCCGCCCCACCCCGCCTCCCCCTCCAGGTCATCCGGAAGGGCTGGCTGACTATCAACAATATCGGCATCATGAAGGGGGGCTCTAAGGAGTACTGGTTCGTGCTGACGGCCGAGAACCTGTCCTGGTACAAGGATGATGAGGTGAGCTCGGGGCCCCGGTCAGGTCATCAAGGGGCCAGCGGGTGACCAGAGCTGGGCTTCGACCTGACCATGAGCTTGGAGCAGTCAGGACTTTTAAAATAAAACCCTACAACAAAGCCCCATGGGGGGAGGTGGATGTAGGGACTAGAGGCAGTCAACCCCTCTTGCCCAGGTTGTAGGAGCATTGTTGTTGGTGTGGAGCATTGAGGCTGGGGGCTGAGGGCCTGGAGAGGGGGTGTGGGGGTCTGGGTAGCCCTCCCTGATTGGGATGGCCTGGCCTTCCTGTTTTCCCTCTTCAGGGCGTGCCCTGCCGCCTCCTCTGTGGTCCCCACAGGCCCATGACACACACGAGAGTCCTGCTGCCAGACACCCTGTTAACCCCTGCCCCCCCCCACCAGCCCCCTAGACTCCAGCTGTCCACTTGGGGATGTCCAGGGTCCCTCCAGGCTGAGAGGGACAGAGTGATGGCGCCTGCCCATGGGAGCACACAGAGGGGCCCCTGCACCCCCCTCCCAGTCATTGGTCTCCTTTAAGAATGAGTCTATTTGGCTTCCACATCTGGATTCCAGAGGTGACCATAGAGAAGGGGAGGACTGTGGGGGTTGGGGGGAGCTGGAGGGAGCTTGTGGTAATGAACGCCAGCTGGCCACCCAGTGGGGGAAGGGACCCTCCTCTTCCTGAAGGCCTGCTGGCAAGGCACAAGGTGCTGGGAAGGGGAGAGTGGGGCTTGGGGAGAGGGCCTTTGGTCTCTAAGCCCCTCCTTGATCCTCCTCCAAGTCTTCCCTGGGTAGGGCTGCCCCTTCCTACCTCGGGGCGGGCGGGCGAGCGGGACCTGTGTAGTCATTGGTTGGGGTGCCAAGCCATCTGGACTTCATTACCCAAACCCTGGCCTCGCCCCTTGCAGGCGCCCTGGGGCCCTGGAAGGGAGAGTGTGTGAGGTGGTGTGGTGGGCCAGTAGTGGGGGTCACTTCCTGCTCTGTTCAGCCAGGCTTCAAAGACACCCTCCAGGGCTGGGGGCCCTGACCACTGGTCCTACAACTCCTGTGCTCCCATCTGGTGGCTCCTAATACGGGGGACAGGGTGACCTGGGGAGCGATGGATCTGAAAGGGGCTCCCTGGCTCCTTGGCTGTGTGGGTGGGTCTGTCTTGAGGTTTGTGTGTGCATCGGAGTTGATTCTTGTGTGAATGACTGCTTGGAGTGTGTGTGTGTGTGTGTGTGTGTGTGTGTGTGTGTGCTGGGGAGGGGGTGGAAATGGAGCATGGGTCATGGGGGTGGAGGGTGTGTGTGAGGCTGTGGGTATGTGTGTGAGGGTTTGCGTGTGTGTTTGGGCTAGAGTGGGTGCACTTGTATGTGCTTGGTGTGTAGCCTCATGATGTGTGTGTTTGGGGGTTGGGCTCCCAGAGGGAGGGGGAGGATGTGAACTATGTATTCGGTTAGGCTATCAGACGGTGAGGAGGGCAGTAGCGTGGCCTATTGTGTGTGTGTGGGGGGGTGTTTCTGTGTGCATGTCTGCGTGTGTGCACTTGTGATGTGGGTGTGTGCTTGGAGTGTTAACGTCTGGACCTGTGAATATGTGTGCCTTCCTGGTGGGAATGTGCGTCTCTAGGTGAATTGGGGCAGGGGCGGAGGGGGGTAGGGTAAATTGCGTTTTAAACCAGGGCGGCTGGGTACTCGAAGGGAGTATGGCCAATGGGGGGGTTCCCCTCCACCACCCAATCACTCTGGTCTTTGGTGTCAAGGGGACACCTCTGGGCAGACAGGCTGTCGTCCGAACCCCCAGCCCTCATTGACACCCCCACCCCACTTCTCAGTCTTACTCCACCGCCTTCACCATCACACTACTCACCCTGTCAGTCCCCCAGCCCTCCCGCGCTCCCCAGCCCCTGCCCCTGCCCCTGCCCTGCTCCGGCTCCGGGATGGCGGGAGGGGTCCGTGCAGCTCTCCAGCGTCGGCGGCGCAGGGTCTAACCCAGCCCAGCCTAACCAATGTGCAGACTACTGTACAATTGGGAGTCCTGAACAGATAGTCTAAACACTGGGTAGACGGAGTGGAGGTGTCCTCGGGTCTGTCCAGGCAGCAGGATCTGTCCATCCAGCGGGAGCTCCGGGCCCAGCCTCTGGCGATCCAAGCAGCCCTCCTGCCCCAGCCCAGCCCCGCGGCCGCCCGCCGTGGTCCCCTCGGCTCCAGACTCCCCTTCTGCCTCCTTTGACGTGGCAGGGTGACGGGAGCTGTGGCTGGGAAGGAGGGGCCTGGGGAGGGGGCTGAACCGGCAGGAAGGGAGGGGTGGGGGGCGGAGGCCGCTCCTACCTAGTGTCCAACCCCGGAGCGCAGGCGGGCAGCGGCGGCGGTGGGGCCTCCCTCCAGCGGTTCCAGATGTTCCCTGGCCGCGTGTGCAACTTCCTCCTCTCCTCCCCCAGCCGCCCTCTGGGGCTGCCGGCCACCCGCCTGGCATAAAGAAGGCTTTATGTGGCAGGCCAGGCGGGGGCAGGGGGCAGAGGGGAGCGGGCAGGATGATGCTGGGGGCAGGGGAGCAAGGTCCTTCTAAACTCAGCCCCTCCACCTGAGATGCTGAGTGGGGCTCCCGCCCAAGTCCTCTGAGTCTCTGAAACCCACAAAGGCCCCCTGCTCCCACCCCAGCCCCCAGCCCTGTAGCCTGGCCCAGGGTCCTGTGACTAGCTAGACAAGCATGGTATGGACAACAGAGGCCTTCCCAGACTGCGCCCCCACCCCCTTCTCTTAAACATGCATCTGCTTCTACTGGTATACACACGCAAAAGTACACACAGGCCTAGCGCACTATCCATCTTGCCACATATTCACATAATTCTCTCCCAGTGCTGACAGACAAGCCAAACGTGTGGGGGTGGGGTGGGGTGGAGGTGGGCCTTCAAAAGCTTCCTAGAAAAGTGGATTGAAAGATAATGGCATTTTTCCTTGAGCTGTTTGAAGCCCCCTCCTATGCAGCCCCTTCCACAGACATGGCCCACGGGCCCACGCCTGCAAACACCGATCGTAGGCACACCACTGTACAGAGCACACACTCACCCACACTGGCTGGCGGTCCAGACATGCGTGTGCACCCGAAAATGCACACTGAAAATGCAATACCGAAAATGGCGCTGAAGCGTGTCCTGGGGCTTGCCTGTGTGTGTACAAGCGCACAACTGTGCACGTGTGGCACACATCAGTGCACATCTCCGGGCTCGAGCTAGGGGCCTGATTGCTAGCACACGGGTGGCTGGCGGGGAGTGGGCTGAGCCAGCCCTTTGAAGAGCCGGGAGGCTGCTTGGCCCCCTCCTTCCCTGTCTCTGAGTCAGGAAATGAAGTCAGAGCCTTATCCAAGCAAGCCCTGCAGCCTAGCCGGCAGACAGGGTCCCTGACTGGGGCTGACCCTGGATGGCCAGCATGTGGGCTTGCTTGAGGAGGTGGGGGGGGGGGCTCCAGGGCCCGCTTCTCTGCAGAAGGCATGGGTAGGACTTGGGCACCATGCCCATGGTGGCCTTCCTCAGTGAGGGGCCTGGACTCAGAGCCAGGCTGGAGCACTCTTAGGGAGCGGGAATGGCAGCAGTGAAGCCAGCTCACCTCCTGCCCCTCCCCACAGGAGAAGGAGAAGAAATACATGCTGTCGGTGGACAACCTGAAGCTGCGGGATGTGGAGAAGGGCTTCATGTCAAGCAAGCATATCTTTGCCCTCTTTAACACGGAGCAGAGGTGCCTGCCAGCTCCAGAGCCTTCAGCCAATCACCCTCACAGAGTAGCCCTCGGGAAGGGACGGGACGGGGGACATGTAGCTGCAGGGAGGGCAGGAACCTGCCCGGGGCCCTGAGGGAGTCATCCCTCAGATGCACAGTATCGCCCATCGTGTTGTGTTGCTGTCCTACTCTGGACGACACAGCACTCTGCGAGTGCTCCCCTCCCACCCACCCCCACCCCACTTTCTTCTGCGGTCCCTCATTCAGTGCCTGCTCTATATGAGGCGCTCTGCCAGGTCCTAGGGACAAAAAAAAGGGACCAGGAGCCCCTGGTTCCTAGCTCCTGCTGCTCAGAGTCCAGTGGGGCCGGTAGTTAATGCCCGGCCTCTCGCCTCCCCATCCAGGGCTCAGTCCACTGGGTCATCTCCCAGTCAGCGCTGAGAGTCCAATGCAGGCCCGCCTCTGGGCGTCCTCAGGGAACCTGGGACCAGAGACCTAGGCCAGGGCCCGCACTGTCCTGCGTCCTCAGTGAAAGGGAGGGCTGAGCCCCTTTCTAAGCATTCTACTGCTCATTCCCCGAACTCCTCCCCATGAGCCCTGGTGGCAGAGTAGTTATGGGTTGGGCTGCTAATCACAAGGTCAGGAGTTTTTCCTCACAGTGTGCCTAGGAGGCAGGGATGGTCAATAGAATCCAGCCATTTCCTCGATGAGGAAAACTGACCTAGAAAGAGACTTTCTCAGGGTCTTGGGTCAGACATGTGGGAAGCAAACAAGCTGGGCCTGAACTCCAGGCCTGATGACCCCGCCCCCCAAGCATGCAAGCGTGTTCTGAGCCCCCCAAGAGGATGGGCTTGGCCGCTGTGTTCCCTCACCGCCTGCCCCATCTCCCAGGAACGTGTACAAGGATTATCGGCAGCTGGAACTGGCCTGTGAGACTCAGGAGGAGGTGGACAGCTGGAAAGCCTCCTTCCTGAGGGCTGGCGTGTACCCGGAGCGCGTTGGGGTGAGTGGCCGGGCGGCGAGGGGCAAAGCCAGCTGCTCATACGAAGGGTCCCTGGGGCCCCGTGCTCTGTGGTGCCAAGCCATGTGCCATGTCTCTGAGCCTCTGTTGGGCTGAGCAGTGTCAGGGGTCCCCGGCCCCACCCGCCCTGGTGTGAGGTTTTCCAGTGCGGTTTTATGTGCCCCCCATTGGCGCTTCCTGCACCCTCTTCCCATGGTGGTGGTTCTTCGGGTTGCCTCCTCCTGCCAGAGGAGCGGCTGGCCCCTCTCACTGTGGCACTGTCTCCAGCTGGGAGGCAGTGCCCAGGCTTCACTCACCCTCTCCCTCTTTCCTTGGTGTGTGTGTCTGCTTCGGCTGTGCTCACCCATCCTCTTGGTGACGATGCTGGTGCTTTGTGGTCTTGGCGTGGGCCTCCCAGGACAAAGAGAAAGTGAGTGCGCCCTGCCCCTGCCTTCTGCCAGGCTTCTCCCAGCCCGGCGCTAGCCACATCCTTAGAATCAGAGAGAAACCCAAGAAACTGTGGAGGGTTGCTTTGCTTATTCCGGATTAGAAAACAGAAGCCCGATACTGCGCACTAATGTCACATCAAAGGAGCCCTGGTGGCCTGGTGGGTGAGGCTTTGCACTGCTAACTGAAAGGTCAGCCGTTCAAACCCACCAGCCACTCCTCAGGAGAAAGACAAGGCTGTCTGCTCCTGTAAAGAGTTACAGCCTCTGGAGCCCTCGGTAGGGTTCCTGTGAATCGGAATGGAGCCAGTGGCCATAGGTCAGAGAGCGGCTAAAGAAAGGGCGTCTGGGGGTCTTGAGAGATGGTGGGATGGGCAGAGTCCAGAGTCCCAGAGCACGTGAGGAGCCGGGTGGCTGTGTGGTCTGGCCAGGCCCTTCTCCTTTCTGTGCCTCAGAGTTCCTGGCACCCATGGAGGCGCTGAGACCTGGGCCAGGGGCCAAAGCCTGGCAGGGGCCTTGTTAGGCTCGGTAGACTGGGCCACCCTGATGCCCTTCTGCTTCCACGGCAGGCCAGTGAGACCGAGGAGAACGGCTCGGACAACTTCATGCACTCCATGGACCCGCAGCTGGAGCGGCAGGTGGAGACCATTCGAAACCTGGTGGACTCGTACATGGCCATCGTCAACAAGACTGTGCGGGACCTCATGCCGAAGACCATCATGCACCTCATGATCAACAACGTGCGTGGCTCACTGTGTCGGGGAGGGCTGCCCTTGTAGCACTGAGGCAGATGGCCACTTCAGCCAGAGGGGGGTGGCTCGGGGGCCAGATCTGGGAGGGAGGCCTGCTCCAGACCGCAGCTGTCCACTGCAAAGATGATGGCAGCTTCGGTTTTAATTTTACATTTTCTAGTAGCCACATCCAAAAAAAAAAGAAACAAAACTCAAGGTAATGATATATTTCATTTAACTCGATATATCCAAAATATCGTTTCAACATAGAAACGTAGACCCAATAGTTAAATGATTTAAGAACTTTTTGGGGGGCTACTAAATTTTCCGAATCTGATTCGGTCCCTAAATTTTCATTGCAAATACTTGATCTATATTTAGGTTTCCTGAAATTTACAGTTGAAAATGTAGATTCGCATGGCCATGCTGTTCCAAACGTAAATTTGTAAAAATAATTTTTCCGATAAATCAATCGAGTTTCAGTTGTTAAATTTATATTCAAATTCGGCACCTCAGTTGCATGAGCCACACCTCTAGTGCCTCAGTAGCCACAAGTGCCTCCCATATGAGGCAGGGCAGGACTGGACCTCTGAGGCCAGAACTGTCAAGAGAGGAGAGGGAGAGGGAGGCAGAGGCAGGGATCCTGGTCCAGTGTAGTGGGACAAGGTCTGGTGGGCCAGGGAGCTGGGAGAAGCATAGGCTAGCCTGGTAAGGCCAGGCCTGGGAAAAAACACAGTTCTTATGCAGGTAGCACATGCTGGCCCCCCGCGATCCACAGTCCCTGAGCAGGGAGCCCCCACCCAACATAGCTTCACATATATCTTCACCCAGGCCCCCTCCAAGGCTCTCGCTTGGTCCAAAAACTCAAAACAAAACTCACTGCCATTGAGTCAACTGACTCAGAGCAACCCTATAGGACAGGATAGAACTGCTCCTTGTGAGCTTCCGAAATTTTAACTCTCTTGTAATGGGAATAGATAGAAAGTCCCATCTTTCTCCCATGGAGCAGCTGGTGGTTTCAAATTGCTGACCTTGCAAAACACAGCCCAACTACAGGCATCCTCAAACTACCGCCCTCGGGCCCGCCGAGGACATTTATCCAACCGGCCGGGTGTTTTTGCCACTTTTGAAGTTTTACTTCAAAATAAGATATGTGCAGTGTTCACAGGAATTTGTTCATAGTTTTTTGTTTTTTTTTAATCTATCGCCCGGCCCTCCAACGGGTCTGAGGGACAGTGAAGTGGCCCCCTGTTTAAAAAGTTTGAGGACCCCTGCAGCTACACCATAACCACTTTATCACCAGGATCGCCAGGGCTCCCTTCTTGCCCAGAGCATGCTCTTTTTATAGACAGCTCTACTTGCTCTACAGGACCCCGTCTCTGGCATCCCCTTGGCAATTCCAGTGGGTCCCTAAAACTACCAGTGGGCCTCCCATGCTGGATTCGCTAGCCCAGAGAGGGTCACTAAGGTGGAAGCAGTGAGAGATCTGCCAAAAGGAATCCAGAGGCAATCCCTTTCTCCTTGGTAATCCTCTTCAGGTTGATCCTCAGACACCAGGAGCCCCTCCACCCTCACCCTTCACTCAGGCCTCAGACATTTCCAGGCAACATATCCAATATCAGCATCCTCCACCATCACTGTCCATTTGAACCTGGGGAGCTGAACCTGGCCCAAATACTGATTCCTACACACACACACACACACACACACACACACACACACACACACACACACGCCAGGAGTTCTGATTAAGTAGGTCTGGAAAGGTCCAGGAGCATGACTCTTTTGGGAACTCCCAGACGTGTGCAAAACGCATGGCCCCAGGAGAAAGGGCAACTTTCTTGAAAACATGATTTTGCTAGAAATTCATTGTGTGGCTGAGCAAATGAACGAGCCTGTCTGAGTCTCTTATGTCCTCACATGTAAAGTGTGGATCGTGACCGCCTCAGCTTCACAGGGTCGAGGGGCAAATGCATATAAAGTGCATAGGGACACACTAGCTGGCTCATGGGAGGGAGGGCTCACCATCTGAATAATGAACAAAAGAGACACGCTCTATGGAAGGAAACCACAGCTCAGCAGAGGTTGTGCTGATGCATTTGGGCTGCTGACTGCAGTCCCCCAGTTCCAACCCACCAGCCGCTTCTGGGGAGAAAGACAGGGCTTTCTACTGCCCTAAAGAGTTGCAGTCTCAGAAACTCACAGGGGCAGTGCCATCCTGTCCTTACAGGGTCGTGGTGAGTTGGCATCAACTCAAGGGTCGTGTGTTTGGGTTTGGGTTTGAGTGCCAGAGTCTCAGAGGGCTAACACCTGGTGAGCCCAATCCAGGTGTGCGATCAAACTTGTTGCTCATTTCTCCAGGGTTCAGAAAACGTTCCGTTCTCATCAGTGTTTCGGTCCAGTAGAGAGTGCACCTCCTTGGCAAGGGGACAGCCACCCCGTTTTAGAGGAGGAAGCCAGACTCAAGGAACTGAATTGGCAGGCGCCCTCGTGGCACCTCCTCCCAGATCTGTCACGTGCACAGTCACTTTTCCTCTCAGTCTTCCAAAATCTGAGAAAGGGGCGGAAGGGGGTAAATTTCAAGTTTAGGGCATGATGAAGCTGCTTATGAAACTCCAAATCCCCCCAGGCTCTCAACAAACAGCTAACAGGGCCCAGCGCCCCTTGCATAATGGCTCAGGCGTCAGGTCTCAGCCCCCATCTCTCGCCTGCCTGCAGACCAAGGAGTTCATCTTCTCGGAGCTCTTAGCCAACCTGTACTCGTGCGGGGACCAGAACACGCTGATGGAGGAGTCAGCCGAGCAGGCGCAGCGCCGCGACGAGATGCTGCGCATGTACCACGCGCTGAAGGAGGCTCTGAGCATCATCGGCGACATCAACACGACCACCGTCAGCACGCCCATGCCCCCGCCTGTGGACGACTCCTGGCTGCAGGTGCAGAGCGTACCGACCGGACGCAGGTACCAGGGCCGGGCCCCCACGGCCCCAAAGCCCCCAGCCCGGGGCCCGCGGGAGGAGGACCGGGACCGGGCAGTGGCGCGCCCGCGTCACCGGGGCGGCTCCCACCTGGAGCGAGGGGCGGGGCTTAGAGACGGGCGGGGCTTGACGCGGGGCGGGGCTTGCCGTGGAGCGCTGGCTGCGGAGCGGGGCGGGGCTCGGATGTTGGCGCCGCTGTGGGGCGGGAGAGAACTGTGGGCGCAGCGGGGAGGAGCTTGCGTGCATGGGCGGGGCCAGCCTTGGGCTGAGGGCGGGGTCTCTGACCAGGGCAGAACTATTCATCTCTCTCCTATGCTTGTGTCCTGCTCACTGTCACTCGCAGGTCACCCACGTCCAGCCCCACGCCGCAGCGCCGAGCCCCCGCCGTGCCCCCAGCCCGGCCAGGGTCGCGGGGCCCTGCTCCTGGGCCTCCGCCTGCTGGGTCCACCCTGGGGGGGGCACCCCCCGTGCCCTCCAGGCCGGGGGCTTCCCCTGATCCCTTCGGCCCTCCCCCCCAGGTGCCCTCGCGCCCCAACCGCGCCCCACCCGGGGTCCCCAGGTGAGTAGGGGCTGGGTGCGGCGAGTGGCCGCCCGGCTAAACATAACTGGAAGGGTGCGGGGCGGTAGAGCGTGGGGAGCCGACCTTGGATTCTAGGACATCACCCTGGCTACCAGAGCTGGCCCTCTCTGTCCAAGACCCTCGGATGGTGGGTGCCGGAGCCATGGGGTGTACGGTACAAGGCTGGCGGAACGTGGCCTGGCCCCTACAGAGCGCTGAGTCCCGGCGGTCGTTCCTGGGGAGGGGTCCGTGGGGTCCGCCCCACTTGCCCTCTTCTTTCCAGCACTTGCATGGCGAGCCTCCCTTCCACACGTGGATTCTTCCTTTTCCCTTCTCGCTTTCCTCCCTTCTCCACTCCACTCTCTACTCCTCTCCCAGCCCCTGGTGAGCCTTACTCGGGGCTGGACCAGGGCCTTTGGTTGTGTGTGGTCCCTCAGGGCTCCCTTGATGGTCCCCAGGAACTTAGGTGAGGTGGTGGCTGTGTGACCAGCGAGCGAGGTGTGCAGTGTGTGTGGGCGTGCACACAGGTGTGTGAATGTATGAGTGGCACCCAGGCATGGGTAGGACAGGGAGCCTCTGGAAAAGGAGTCTGGGAGTTTCCCCCTCCTGCCTCCTGCCCTGCCTGACCTACCAATTGGCAGGGGTGGGGGTAAGGATAGGTGATGGCTGCCCCATTCCCAGAGATTTCTAAGGAAAATGACTCCACTTCACCCTTTGATCCATGACCCCCTGTGAAGGAAATCCCCCACCAGTATCTAACTCAGTTTCAATCTGCCCTGTTCCCACTGGCCACATTCTCTGAGGAAGAGGAAGCCAGACCAATGGCATCCATTGACATTTGCAGAATTGTGCTGGGGGTGGGGTGGGGTGGGGTAGGTGGCAGAGGGAAATGTCCATCCTCCACAAATCCAAAGTAAAGCGGGCTCTCTGGTGATCTGATATCAGAAGCAAATGGGGGGCGGGGGGAGGAGAAGCAGATGGGGTTAAGGCAAGAGCACCGGCTTGACCCTTCCGAGATGCTGGTTCACCTTAGGGCTCGAGGCAAGTCGCTTTCCCTTCCAGGACCTCAGGTTCCCTTCTACCAACGCAACTGACTTTCTGCCTTTCTCCCAGGGTTCCTGTAGGAACCGAGGGACACAGTGGCTCTAGGGATGCAGCATTAATTGCCAGTCTAGCCATAGGGGCACTTTGCTAACTGCCAACACAAATTCAGATCCTTCGGCGTATTCACACGGGCCCAGCTGCTGAGGTGTGATATAAACCCCAAAAGCGAACTGCTTACCTAGTACATTCTGACCCTATAGGACTATATAAATCTACCCCTGTGAGTTTCCAAGAGTGTAAATCTTTTTTTTAAATCATTTTATTGGGGGCTCATACAACTCTTGTCACAATCCATACATACATCAATTGTATAAAGCACATTTGTACATTCATTACCCTCATCATTCTCAAAACATTTGCTCTCCACCTAAGTCCCTAGCACTGGCTCCTCATTTCTCCCACTCTCTCCCCGCTCCTCTCTCTCATGAACCCTTGATAATTTATAAATGATTATTCTGTCATATCATACACTGTCTGATATCTCCCTGCACCCACTTTTCTGTTGTCCATTCCCCAGGGAGGAGGTTATATGTAGATCCCTGTAATCAGTTCCCCCTTTCTACCGCACCCTCCGTTATCTCCACTCTCACTACTGGTCCTGAAGGGATCATCCATCCTGGATTCCGTGTTTCCAGTTTCTATCTGTACCAGTGTACATCCTCTGTTCTAGCCAGATTTGTAAGGTAGAATTGGGATCATGATAGTGGGCGGGGGAGGAAGCATTTAGGAACTAGTGGAAAGTTGCATGTCTCATCATTGCTACACAGCACCCTGACTGGCTCGTCTCCTCCCTGCAACCCTTCCGTAAGGAGATGTCCACTTGTCTACAGATGGGCTTTGGGTCCCAACCCAAGAGTGTAAATATTTATGGGAGCAGAAAACTTCATCTTTCTCCCACAGAGCAGCTGGTAGTTTCGAACTGCTGGCCTTGCGGTTAGTACCCCAACGCATAAACCCCCTGCACCACCAGGGTTCCATGAGGGGTGGTACAGGGCATGGTTATCATATGGTTCCTGCTCCCATGCTGGTCCTCCTAACATAGTTGGCCCAGCCTCTGCGAAGAGATCAGTCTGGGAAGTGGAGCTCGACTGACTGCAGGATGGGGGTTGGTTGAGATGAGGGGCAGCTGTGAGGCATCGGCAGGGCATCTTGGGCAGGGTGCAGCAAAGGTTCAGCGTGGGTGCGTTGAGGAGAGCCGCTGGCCAGAGCAGAATATAGATAGAAGAGGAATCCAAGGAGGTGACCTGGGAAAGGTGGGGCAGGTGGGAGACCCTTCCAAATCCCTAGAGAAGTGCTCCAGGGCACGAGGGAGCCAGGGAAGGCTCTTGGGCAGAGTAATGACAGCTGGAGCCCAAGGAAGCCAACCCTGCCCCTTTTGGAGCAGTGCCAGGGGCTTCCTGAGCACACCAGGCACGAGTGTACAGGGAGCTGGTGCAACTGCCTTCTGTGTGCCGGTGAGCTTCTGTGTTGTGACTCAGCTCTTGCGCGTGCTTCCATGTGCCGAGCGGCTGCATGCCCCAGCGGCTGCATGCCCTGGATCCATGCTGCACGTGCCAGCCATCGAGGGTGCTGGGCACTGGGGGTGGGGGTGTATGCGTGCTGTTTGTGGGCATGTGTGTTAGCGTGTGCATGCAGGACTGTGAGGCCTCCCAGCATGTGTGTGCACGCCCAGGCGTGTGCGTGTGCGTGTCCCCACCCCCAGGCCTGCCCCATCCGTGCGTGTGAACTGCCATGTTGATTTCGTGCTGTCTTTCAGAATCACTATCAGTGACCCTTGAGGAACGTCAGTCACGGTAGGTACATGCCTCTCCACCTGCTGCATGGTGTGTCTGCCCCCTGCTGCACCAGCTCCACACGATGGGGGGCACACCTGGGTCGGTAGAGCCAGGCTCCCCCGTCCGTCCCCCTTCTGCAGCTCCAGATTTACTCTTTCCTCTTTCTGTCCTTGCTGCCAGCTGGCTCTCATCTCCCTCCCCAGCGAGCCTCGGGACTCAGTGCCGCTGCCCCGAGACCTCTTGGGACAGGCTCCATGCCCAAGCTGGTAGACATGGCTGCTCCCTGGAGCATCAGAGAGGCAGAGGGAGAGTTTATGGTGCAGGGGCGAGGAGCTGGAGGGTTCAGTATGAGACTGGACTGAGGCAGCCAGAAGCTTCTCACCTTATCTGGAGGCGGCGCCTGGGAGTCAAAGCCAAGTGTAAAGCAGAGGTGGTTAGGGGCCGCCTCCTACCGTGCAATCCGTGCGCTGTGCTCTGAGATGAAGACTGTCCCCCAATCCTCAAAGGATGGATCTGATAGTGCGTCCTCTTCCCCCCACCCCCACCCGCCCCCCCCAGTCCGTCACACACCTCACAGGAGGCAGGGACAGCCAACCCCCCCCACCCCAGGTATTGGGTGCTGGTGGTAGTGTCCTCAGCCCTAGACACAAACGCCTAAGCCAGCTAGCGGGCTCCCGGATGTTGGCCTTTTGCTGCTAGGGGTGACCTAGTTTTCAGCTAAGGGGACAATGGTGTCCGCTGACCCAAGCCTTGCCCAGGGTCGGTCAGCTTCTCCCAGTGCAGCCCAAGCCGAGCCACAAGACCCACGCAGCTAACCTGCCTGCCACTCTGCCTCGGCCCCTGACTCTCTCTTCTGCTCTTCCCCAGCAGGAAGGGCCCAGCCTCACCTACGCGACCTGCAGCCCCCCGACCAGCTGAGGCTCCCCTCTTAGACTTATAAGTCTGTGGCCACTGGCATCCAGCTGCCTGCCCTCTAAGTCTCCCCCAAGGGCCCCCCCGGGCTTTCTGATCACCCAGAGGGGCCTCCAGTGCTTTGCCCATGTTCGCACCACCTTCTGGGTTCTCTGGTCTTTCTTAGAAGACATGGTGGTCAGAGAAGAGGGAGTCAGCAGGGAACCCAGTGGTGGTGGTACCTGTGTTCTGGTGTGGGTGCACTGCCTGGATGGTGTGTGAGACCAGTGTGTGTGATAGTGGGGTGGCCACCCCAGACTCCCTATGAAGCTCTGGCCCCTGCCCATCTCCAGCACCTCCCCTCCCCTCTCTGCCTCCCCGCCCCCCACCCCTATGCCACCTCCTCCCACCGCTGCCCTGGCCGCTCTTGCCTTACCAGCTTCCTCCCCCCCCACCCTTTTCTCTCCCATCTCTTTTCTCTCCACTTTCTCACCAACTGCCAGCCGATCGGGTCAGGCAAGTCCATCCCGTCCTGAGAGCCCCAGGCCCCCGTTCGACCTCTAACCAGATTCCTCCCACTCCTCGGAGACTTGCCTTTCCAAGCCTGCCTGGACGGCCCTCCTGTGACTTGACAGTGGCGACCCTCCCCGGCCCCCTCCTCAACGGCCCTCTTCTGTGACTTAGTCTGTTCTAGTGGTGAGCCCACACATCCAGGCGTGACACTGGTGAAAACGTGTGCCCCTCTGTGATCTTGCTCCTACCCTGGTCTATAAATATCTATAAATACTCATATATATACATATATATACACATATATAGATCTATATGGCAGACACAGCCTTGCCTCTCGTGTTGGAATTCAATCACTGTGCTGTCCTGTGGAGTCTTGTGGCCTATCCAGGAACACTATCATCACCTTGGCATCCCCTTCCCAAGTGTTGGTCCACCTCCAGTGAGCCTCCTTGTGGACAGCCAGCTCCCCCTCTCCTCTCCTGCCCTCCCGTCCCCCTCCGAGCATGGGGCTACTGTACCGGCAGCCGTGTGGTTCTCTGGCTGCCACCAACCAGTCTTGCTGTCTCTTGGCTGAGAATAAAACCCATTTCTGGATGATGGAGAACAATGTGTCCTCTGCTGGCTTGTGTTCCCCACGGAATTTGGGGGGAGAGGGGGCAGCTGGAACACTGGGGGGAGGGCTGAGGATGACTTCGGCATTCCCAAGGCTGCTTTGAAAGCACCTGGAGTTGAGCCTCTGCTCCCATGTGAACTTCCCTCTGGCCACTATGGCAGCTTGCAGGGTGGATGTGGGGCTTGGGCGCCCACTTAGAAGGGGAGACAGGGGAAAAAAAGGGGGAGACAGGACAGTAGGGTACCAGGGGCAGGCAGATATCCCTGGGACAGGATGGGGAAAAGCCTGGCTCTTTCTGCCTCTCCTCCCTAGGATGAGATCCTCTTGTCTCAAATGTGAGGCTGTTGGCCATTATTAGACAGGACTGCCTCCTACAGCCTCCATGGCAGACCCTGGACGTCCCCAGGCTTCACCCAGCCTGTTTCCAGGTGCCAGGCCTGGAAGCTCTCCCAACCATCTCCCTGAGGGCGCTCTGGGCAGTCTTCAAATACACTGCCCTCTGCTGGCCAGACTGGCTCCCCAGCTCCGCCCTCCACATATCCCAGGACCCAAGACCAAGTAGTGGTGAAATATTTATTCCAGAATTTTTAAAAGCAAAATAATCAAGAGTTGAATACCAGAACACTCAAACCCCATCCCCACTTCCTTCCTCTGTTATAAATAACTCTCCCCACCCCCCAATTCTTAGACCTTCAATCCTGTTTTGCCAGGTCCCTCTTTACGACGACACAGGAGGCCTATAGTCTTTGGAATATACAGATACAATATATACATACACCACCACCCACCACCAGCCTCGCCCTGGAGCTGGGGGTCGGAGAAGGTGTGCTCCAGGATCTGAGCCTCCCTCCCACTCAACAGACTTCCGAGTGACCTGCCCTTTAAATAGGTGCCTACAATGTGAGTTTCCCTCCAACTTGAAGGCATCCTCCTTGTGTGAATGGAATTCCCTGCTCCTCTTTTATTTAAGGGGATCACCTCCCTGGTGGTCTAGTGCTTAGGATTTGGCTGGTGCTCTCAAAGAAAAGGGAAGGCATCCAAAATTGGGGAGGGGACGACTCATAGGGGACCTTTATTCAATGAAGGGGGCATCAAAATTAAGAGGGACTTGTACCCCAAAATAGGCAAGTCCATACAGAGAGGCTGCAAATCAGTCAGTGGAGGAAGGATAGGGAATGGCTATTTAATGAGATTGGGGGTGGGGGCCCTATTGGTAGTCAGCCAGAGGTTTCCAAAGGAGCCCCAAGTGCAGCTGCACCAAGTGGTGATGTTAGAAATGCTTCTTTTATGCTGTGTGCATTCCACTCCACAGCAACCCAGTGATGGTGTGGGGTAGTCTAATATGCTTCCCTCAACGAACGTCAAATCATCACCAGACAGTGTGAAGGAACTCGCAGGAACCCTCTACCCAGGGAAGGGCGAGTCACTGGAGCAGAAGGACCCGCAGACATCCTGTCTCACGTGAGGCCCCCTTTGTCTCCAGGCCTCCCCACTTCCCTGAGTGGAAGGTGCAGGGTGAGTCCCTCTGAATTTTGATGAAGGTTCTGGGGAGTCCCTCTTAGCTTCAAGGCTGCTGCTCCCCCCTTTTCTTTTCCAAGCCTTTCCCTTTGACCACGGTTGCTCCTTCCACACCCGCCCTTCTCCCCACGCTGCCCTTTGCCGCGTGCTGGAGCTGCTGTTTTGGGATCTATGAAGCCAACTCACTGCCAGGGGAGTCAATTGGGACACAGAACCACCCTACCAGGCAGGCCACCACAGCCCCTGGGGGGTTCCGACCCTCTGAACTCTTTCCCTGGAGCCAGAGAGAGCTTGTCTTTCTCCCTGCAGAGCAGCTGGGGGTTTCAAAGTGCTGACCTTGCAACCACCTCTCCACCAGGGCTCCTCCCTTGAGTCCCTGTTACACATGGAATCTCTTTCTCAGTCTCTCTTGCTGAGTCATTCAATAGAGGTTCCTTCGCGTCCTGAGTCTGTATGGCCGTTGTCATTCCAGACATCAATGTTACTCTGCTTATCGAGCCCATGGGACACGAGCCCGTCCTCTAAACACCACCTTAAATGCTAGTCTGAGGATCCCGTGGATGGAATACAATTCCCCTCCTGGGCTGATGCCCTTACACGGGTCCTTTCACTCACTGGCTAGATGGAGTGCTATTCTTTCTTCTGGATGCGACTTTACAGAGCTGGTCTTTGGCTGTCACTTTCAATAGACTTCCCTTCGCTTACTGAGTCTACGCAACACAAGCCCTTCTACTAGAGATCAACTTAAATAAACGTTTATTTATACCCCGTATGGCGTAATGGAACAGATAGCCCTTTTTCTACAGGATACCATTATAAATATGTGTCTATCACTTGAAGTGTATCACTAAAGCCCCTACCCTTCAGCAATTCCTGCAGCCCCTCCTACGGATGTCCTCAAGCCCTCCACTTTATGTGTTTATTTAAATTTTTATTTATTTAAAAAAAATTTTTTGCCCTCCCCTTAAATAGCTCCCAGTCCTCTCCACTTAAATAAACATATCCCTCCACCCGTCAAGAAAAACCTTAGCCCGTTTTTAATAGAAATGCCTACGCCCAGGCCTTAATATATTAAATATTTGCAACCCTACCAAGAAAGGCCCCCCCCCCAAAAAAAAACAAAACAAAAAACAAAAACAAAATCATTGCCACGGAGTCAATTGACTCAGACCCCTCGAGGGAGGCCTGCCTCACTTCCTTAACTTTCGTTTTCTGTTACTTTTTAGGGTTTTTTGCTTTTGTTATTTTTTTTTTTTGTCTTTTTATTCCTTAACTTTCTTGAACTCACTACAGAGATAAGCGAGCCTGGCTACGGCCTCACGCTGGCACACCTGTCTCCCTCCCTCTGTCATGTATACAACCCAGCAGAGGAGGAATGATGGGGTAGGGTGCCAGGCGAGGGGTGCCGTGGAAGGGGACATTTCCCTGACCCCATTGCAAGGCTTAGATCATTAAGACCCTCACCTCGTCCCTTTCATCAGGACGATAAAAAAAGGGAATACAGGGACTGTCACCCAAACTTGGGTGATCCTGTGGATACTGGATCTCCTTAAGCAGCTTCAAAATCTGCTGTGCAGTGGAATTTTCTGAGGCTTCAAGGCCTGAGAGAGCCTCTCCCTGCACGGGCTCCACAGCCTCCGCCAGGCTGACTTCTTGGTAGCCTGGGGAGAGAGGCAGGCCTTTGAGCAATGTGCACACTACTCTCCCCTGCTTCTGCCTGCCTGCCCCCCACCCCCTTCCAAGGTCACTACTCACCTGGGCCGTAGACCTCTCCGAGATCTAGGGATGGTGGGGACATAGCTGTGGGTCCATCAGCATCAGCTGTCTTCTGCGAAGAGGCTTGGTACTTCTGGTACCATTCATTTCTCTCATTGACCAGTCGGAAGACCAGCTCTTGAAACTCTAACATTTTTAACTGGAAGGAGAGGTGATCAGCATGGCTATCCCCCACCCCCCCCAGCCTGGCCCCTCAGCCTGCCCACAGAGACCCAGCAGAGACCCCTACCTTCATCTCTTCCTTGTCTTGGGCCAGTCGGCTGATGTACTCCTCCTTCATGCGGTGCCGCTCCTTCAGCACCGCCCGCTGGCTCTGGTACAGGGCAATGTACTCACCTGGGAGAGGGAGGAGCGGGCAGGGGTCACGACTCAGAAGCTTGGGTGCCCTCAGACCCATCCTGCCCACACCCGTGCCAGTCCCCTGCTCACCAATCGTGTCAGTCTCTCCGGATAACTGCACACAGCGGTGCTCCAGCTGCTCCAGGCGCTCTTGCAAGTCTACCTTCTCTCTCATGACCACGGAGAAGCGTCCCTGGAGCCCAAACACCAGCGTCAGGGGACTGCAGCGTCCTCCCCCCACCCTCTGGGCCGAGGCCAGGAGGCGTTGACTCACTCACCTGTAGCTTCTCCATGGCTTCCTGGAGGTTCTGGTGGGTCTCCCCAGATGAGCCGTTCTCCCCAGTCCTGGGGAGCGGAGCTTCCAAATGAGCCAATTGCAGGCAGTGCAACTCTTGTTTTTTGAGCTCCTCCCTCAGCCGGGCCTGCTCTTCTTCTGCACTGGTTAGAGCCGCTTTGAGGAAGGCCACCTGCAGGTAAGGCATGTGGGTGTGCACTTCCTGGCAGAATGCTCAGGGAGACAACTGGGCAGGGTGGCAGGAGCAGCCCCAGGGCTCACATGTTACTCAGAGGAGGGGCTGGTCCCAGGGAGGTGCGAGGAACAGAAGTCAGAAGGTTGAGAAGCTAAGGGAAGTGGGACAGAGCAGAGGCGCAGAGGGCCAGGCGGGCTCACCTGGGCCTCTTTACTATCCATGTCTTCAGGGATGCTCTGTGCTGGTTCCAGAGCGCTCTCCTCCCTCGTCTGATAGGCCAGTGTGGCTCCTGCGGGGGGGCAGCCGGGGGGATTCTCAGACCACCACCAAAGGGAGGTGGATGGACCAGGAAACTTCTCAGGGCCCAGCTCTGTCACCGAATCACTGCCACCATGGGCCAGCCACTCTCCAGGGCAGCGGTTCTCAACCTATGGGTCCTGACTGCTTTGGGCTTGATTCATAACAGTAGGAAAATGACAGTGATGAAGTTGCAACGAAAGTAATGTTACAGTTGGGGGGTCACCACCCCATGAACTGCATGAAAGGGTCAAGGCATGAGGAAGGTTGAGAACCACTACTCCAAGGGAAAACGATTACTTCTCCTAAAGGCCTCTTCTAGCTCCACTCTCCAAACCACTGGTTCTCACCCCTCCTCATGCCTCTACCTTTCCACGCAGTTCCTCATGTCATGGTGACCCCCTCAAGCATACAATTCTTTCCGTTGCTACTTCATTTTGCTACTGCTATGAATCGGGCGACCTCTGTGAAATGGCCGTTTGACCTCCAAAGGGGTCGCGACCCACAGGTTGAGAAGTGCTGTTCCAAGGGAAAAGTTCCCTCTCTCCTCAGCCTTCCTCCTCCGCTCCCTCTGGACCTGTGTGGTGCTTACCTTTCTCAAGCTGCGCCTTGGGGCTGGGCTGGACCTGCAGCTGCAGGGTCTGTTGGCTGGAAGCTTCCAGGTGCTCCTAAAGGGCCAGGGAAGAGTATGAGAAAGGGCACGGCTCACCGGGTGCTCACTCATAAGGTGCTTTCTCAGCACTGGGGAGCTCCGGCACCCGTGTCTCCTGCACCTCTTGGGTGATCACATCAGCCTCCATCGTCTTCGGGGCGCCCTCGTGCTGGGCCTGCAGCAGTAACTGCTTGCTCAGCTGCTCCTTCTCCTGGGCCATTTGTTCATATAACACCACGTACTGTTGGTAGGCGGCCACGTACTGCTGCAGATGGTTCAGATACTGGTCTCGCTGCTCCTGCAGACCCTGGGCCTCTTGACTCTTGGCTTCCACCTGTGAGAGACTCAGGTGTGAGTGACCCAGAGTGCGCATGGGCGGTAGCCTACCTGCTCCCAACTTCCAAGCCGAAACATGGGCAAGGGAGGTACAGTGCAGTCAGTCCCTTCGGGGCAGGCATTGTGGGGTTCTGTTGCCTGCCCAGGGCCCTGGCTTCCTTATTCCACAGCCTAAGCGTTGGTCTCCCTTGCTTGCCCAAAGCCCCATGTCTTCACCCAGGCTCACATCTCATAGCCTTCTTTCTCACCCTTGTAACTTTAAGCCACCGGCAGGCAGAAAAGCGGAGAGAGCCACCATCTGTCACGTTCAGAGTGTGTACCTGACCCTTGGGCATGCGTTGTCTGATTGAATTCTCAAGAGCTCTCCAAGGAGGAGACTGCTAATCACCCTTGAAAGCAGCCAAGGGAGCTAAAACTGAGGCAGACAAAGTGAAGAGACCCCGTGGACAAAAAGTCAAGGCTAGGCGTGAATCCAAGGAGTCTCTGTTATGCCACCATCTTTTGCCCTGTAATTAGCCTCTAGCTAGCATGATGGCCTATGGCCCGGGGTTGCCTGCTCCTCAGAGCCAGAGGGCAGAGATAATAAAAAGTCATGGATTCCGTTGGGTTCTGTGGTCACTTGTCCCAGGGCCCTCCCCCACACTGCAGCGGCCTGGCTGGCCTGGGCCTGGCTCCGTGTTTCCTCCAGGGCCCAAGCACCTCTTCCTCCCCCAGAGGCGGGGGCTGGGGGTTACCGTCTGCTTCAGGTCATCCAGCTTCTCCTGAAGTTGGCCCAACTTCTTGGCCAGTTCCCTCTTGACATGTTGCTCCGACTGGAGAGAGGTAGTCAACTCCATTTTCTCGTTAGTCTGCAGAGAGAGGTCATCAGCCTACCGGTTGGTAATCAGCAGCCACCTCACCTCCCACAGCTCAGGCCAGGGAGGACACAGCCTGCACCAGCCCCGGCCCGCCCCGCCCACCAGCTGAGCAGGGCCCGCTGGCTCCGGGGATGACATCGCAGGCTCCATTTCACTTGAAGTCTACAGAGACCCCCTTTGACTGATGGGGAAGCAAAGGCCCAGGGGGTTAAGTGTCTTGCCCTGCACCAAAGGACGTGGCAAAGTGAGGAGGGCAGGCTGCGCACCAATGTTATGAAACCGTTCTGCAATTCGGCCAGCTGAGCCTTGAGCTCATTGTTCTGGGTGAGGGCGATGCTGATGGTGGTGTGGTTGCTCTCCATGGTCTCCAGAATCTTGCTCCGATCTGCCTCCTGCTCACGCCACAACTCCGCTATCCGCTCAAGCTCCCTCATCTGCTTCTCCTGCTCCTGACAGGCAAGGACCAGGTCTTCCTTCTCCTTCAGCTGCAACTCCAGTTGCGCCGTCTGCTCCGCTACCTTCGCATGAAGTCTTTCAGTCTCTATTTGAAGCTGAAGTGTTTCCTCTGCGGGGCCCGAGGGAGGCCCTGCAGGGGGGGCAGCTAAGAAAGGAAGCGCACAGTAAGGGTTTCTTGCCTCTCTCATCTCAAAAAGGCCTCTCGTTGGTGCACGGTGCCTAGTCCAGCGCCTCCCCTCAGTCCTGGACCCTTGCTAGTAACTCCACACAGCAATACGATGGCCAACTTTTCCAGCCTTGAAGGAGAACTTTCTATCACGGAGCTCATTTTGAGGCCCCAGGCAACAGTGACAGTGGCTCCTCCATGCCCCCTCCCCAGCCCGCAGATGGGGCCACCGAGGCCAAGAGAGACGGTCAACTCCAGGTGACTGTCAACTCCAGGTACAGGCTTGTTTTCTCCTTCACCACAAATACCCTGTTTGCCCACCCGCTGCCCTGGGGTTTCTAAGCTCCCCTTACCAGCCCTCTGCCACCCGTGCCAGCTCTCAGGCTTCAACCCCAGCCCACCTAGCTGCTTCTTGAGTTCAGCCAAGCTGGCCTCCAGCTCCTGCACTTGAATCACACTTTGGTTCTTCTCTTCTTTCAATGTCTGCACCTGCCCGAGCACAGGGTGGGAGAACAAATGACAAGGGGCTGGCAGAGACTGGGCCCTTTGATCCTGCCTCCCACATCCCCCTCTACAATCGAACTCATACACCCTGACTCCCATCTCCCCGTCTACCTCCACCTCTCTAAACAAAACCCCAGCCGGCTACCATGTGCCCCTCCTGGGCCCTCGTAGCAGAGGGACTTTAGTTAGGAATAATGTGTCACTGTTAGTTCATCCGCGGCAATAGTACACCCCAGGAACGAAAGAGGAACAGAATCAGAGAAACCGGGCATGAGGCAGAGGTGGTGCTGGGTGCTCGGTGCTTCCAGCACCATTTGAGGACAAAGCTACAACTACTCCAAAGGAAGACCGTCCATAAACACAGACACAGTGCCCTCTGGCTGTGCACCAGAGACAGTGCCCTGGTGTCCATCTCGGAACTCAGCAAACAGAGCCAGGCAAGATCAAGGGGCCTCGGGGGCAGGTGAAGTGTCAGGCCTCACCTGCTCTGACAGTTGCTGCATAGTCTGTCGCCAAACAGCACTCTCATTTTTCAAAGTCTCGAGGTAATGATCTCTATCTTTCTGCAGTAGCTTAACAGTCCCCTTGAGCTGCAAGAAGAGGCACGGAAGTTTGGCGGCAGGGGGTGGGGGGGTGGGGGTCGGGTGGGCCAGCCACTGGTCTTCACCTGCTCCCATCCAGCCTCCTAGGGCCACCGATGGTCCTCCTCCCCCGCTTTCCTTCTGCAAGGTCTCACCTGTTCCTGTTCTTTCTCCAGCTGTTCTTTATCTGACTGGAGCTGTTGGATCACCTTGTTGACATCAACGCTGGTGTACTGGGTAGAGAAAGTGGTGTCAGATGGGGAGGCCAGGCAGGGAAAGGAGGCTCCTCATCTCTTCCTGGGGGAGAGCCAATGGCCGGGCCGGAAGAGGGTCCAAATTCCCCAGCATCTGGTTGGCGGGGAGGGCGAGGCTGGCTGGCTCTGGCTCCAGATAGCAGAGCCCTGGAGCTCCCAGGCGCTCACCTGCTGGATCAATAGCTCCGACATCTCAATCTTCTTCTTCATGTCCTCCACCTCAAGCTGCAGGCTTGTCTTCTCTTTCACCAGGTCGCTCACTCGCTCTATCAGTTCTGCGTTGTGCTGGGTTAGGTCCTCGTTTTTAGCGCTAAGGCCGGTGCGAGTGGACAGAGCAAAGGCAGAGTGAGGGCAGGCAGGAGCACTTTCACTGCTCGACCCTCTTGTCCTTGCATACAACAGCGGCATTGGGAGGGACCCCAGAAATCAAGAGGGTCACACGTGGGTTGCCTGGGGCCACGGCAGGCATCATGGTACCATGGGACTAGAGCCTGGCTCTGCCTCACCACGCTCACTCATGTCCCTCCCACTCCCCTCTGGATGGCTTGGGCCGCGGGCCACCCAGACCTGCCGTCCCACCCCCTAGCCTGCCCCCATCCTACCTCAGTTTGAGTGACTGCAGCCTGAGGTTATCTCGTTCCTGGGTCAACTCCTTGTTACTCTGTAAGACACAGGGAGTTCAGAGCAAGATTTGGCGGGAGGGTGGGGCACAGCTGCTGGTAACCCTCGTAACAGTAACTGTACCACATCTGGAATCCCACTTTGCTTTTTTTCACTCCCGAAGTGTTTCCAAGCCCATGATGTCCTCATTTCTTTTCCCTGAGCACTCGGTCAGGACGGACGGGGCGGCTCGAGAGAGCTCGGCTCTGCATAAGTCCTCAGAGGCCCACAGAGGCAGGTCCTATTGCTGTTACTACGGATGACTAGCACCCTCACCACTCTGCAGAGCAGGCATCCACTGAGTGCTTTCACCCAGCACCACTCTAACACCTCACAAGCGCAACCCCAGCTGATCCCAGGAGGGCTTACTATTACTATCTCCCTTTGGAGAGAAAAGAAACAAAGTTACTAGTGTCCAGATCACACCAGCAGATAGGGATTTGACCGGCCTGCTCTGTCTGCCTCTATTACCAGGGATTTTCCCCTGCGGCTGAGAGTAGAGGAATGGCATTTTTGTCATTTTAAACTTTTGTTCATTTTTGGAAATAGATATACATTCATCAGGTCCAGAAGGCAGCCGGTGGAGAGATGGAACGTCTTCGAGCCATCTCACGCCTCTTCCCATACAATCCTTCAGACATATCTTGTGTGTGTGTATGTGTGTGTGTGTGTGTGTGTGTGTGTGTCTCACTAAAGCCAGTGTAGTGTTCTGCACCCTCAGAGTCCAAGCACTGCACCCCTTTTTCCAAGGCCCACAACCAGTTAGTGGCAGGGCTGGGACCCGCACCACTCTGGATGCAATGTTTGCTTAGTGACAGCACCTCCCCCGACTCACCACCCAGGAAGCGCCCCCCACCCCCATCCTCAGGCTGGTACTAACAGACCACAGGATGAAAGCAGCAAGGAATGGTGCGCCCTGGGCAGCCAGATGCTCCTTCCTTGGGCTCCCTGGGCAGGTGGGCTCACCTTGTCAGCTTGCTGGTGCTGCTTGGTGACAGTGGAGAGTGTGTGTTCCAGGTCTCCCAAGCGCTGTCGGCACGCCCTCAGGTGGTAGCAAGCATCCTCCAGCTCTCCTGGAAGCAGAGGAACACTGAGAAGGGGGCCCAGACGGGGAAGACCCTTGGAGGCCTGACAGGGGGCCAGGGCTGGGGGAGGGGGGCGTATGGGGGCTGCCCTGGGCTCCCACCTTCTTTCCTTTTTACTGCATTCTGGGTGTGGTACAAGGCTGAATAAAGGTCACCCTTCTCTTGAATCAAAATCCCTATGGTTTGTATATGAACCTAGGAAAGAAAGGCCAAGCAGGTTCGTTAGAGGAGGAAAAATGTTTTCTAGAAGGTCTGAGAGAATGCCATCCAACATCCTCACCTCCAGTTGTTGCCTGAGAGCTACGTGTTCCTTCATCATACTCTCTTCATAGTCTTTTTTATCCTGCAGGGCAAGGGAAGCAACATCCCTCCCTGAGAGGCGTCAAACACAGACTGGCAAAGCACATGCCGCAAGCCTAATGCCGTGACCAGAGACCAGGGGCTGTGTGTGTACACAGGGGCAGGGGGGCAGAGGAGGGGGCCCTTCCTCTCCTGCCCCTGCGAGTGGGCTAAAAGAGCCCGAGGCCTTCCCCGCACCCATCAGCAGCGAGCAGTGAAAACGGCATTACCTTTTCCTGTTGGTCCATGATGTCCTGGTTTTGTTGTTTCTGTGGGCAGAAGCAAAAGCCAGGTGTCTCCTCCACGCCTGGCCCCAGATCCAGGAGGTAGGGGGCTAGGGACCAGAAAGGAGCCCTAAAGGAATGGTTCTCAGACTCTACAAGGGCTGGCACTGACCAGGTCTCTTCAAGTCCCCAACAAAGAGAACTTGGGTCTTTCTCATGGAATCGACCCCCTTCCAATGGTCGTGGTGTCTGGGTGGGGAAAGGCTACTCTCCTCCCAGCTTGTGATTGCGAAGAGAGCAGTCACTCAACAACTGTCTGTGGAGCACATACGACAGACCAGTTGCCTTTCCCAACAGGAGGGGCAGGGGAAGAGAAAGAATCCACGGCTCCCTACTCGCTGACGTGGACATTCCAGAGCACCTGTAACGCTCTCCTTCCCTTAGGTGGAAGAGACCTTAGACCCCATCTAGCTCCACCTACATCGAAAACAGAAAGCCAGGGAGGAGTGGTGACTTGTACAAGGCCGAATACAGGGCAAATTAGGGGCCGGGTCAGCAAGGGTCCTGTCAAACAGGGGTCCTGACACCAGGCAGGTTAGTGCTTCCAAGGAGAGGCAAGGAGGGGGCGCCCCCGGGTGGGGGTGTCTGGATCAGAGAGAGTGGAAGAGAATGGAAGTCAAGAGAAGCAGCCTGCGGTACACTCAGTACTCTGGGCTCCCTACAGCTGAGACGTCGGCCCCTGGCAACCCCAGTGTCCCTTGGTGCCAGGGACTCCCCATCCCCCTTCTTCGGAGCCCCAAGGAGGCACTGGAGCCCAAGACTGGCAGTACGGAACCAGAGACCCCACTAGACTCTTACCAGTTCCTCTATCTTGTTACTGAGCTGTTTGTTTGTAAAGTTACTGGACTCCAAGGCATTACAAAGTTCTTGGTACCGGTTCTGAGGCACATGCAGAAAGGAGGAGTCGGAGGAGGGTTGGGGGAAGAGGTAGAGAGAGTAATCATTAGGGTTGAGGGGGGGTTGGGGTTAATCAGCTGTCTCAGGTGACAGGGAGCACCCAGCCCCCGTTGGGGGAAGAGTGGACAGGGCTGGCACGGTTCAGAGGTGCTTACCTCCAGCTCTTTGATGCTGGATATTGTGAAGCCTTGTCCGCTGACAAAGGATGACTAGACAAGAAAGGAGAGTTCACTTGGAGATGCTCCCGGGCCCCCCTCCCTGTCTAAGCTAGAGGTGCCCAAACCGAGTTCAGAAAAAGCGACCCAGTGGCCCCCAGGAAATGAAACCCTTTCGTAGTATAGCCTATAATTCCAGATAACGTGCAGGTGTCTGCTCTTGCAGCCCAACCTGGATCGCTCCAGTGCCTGGCCCCTCACCCCAACTGAGGCGGGATGGCCCACTTAAGGAAGCATTGCTCTGAGCCCTCCCGCCTGCTTGCATCTCTGCCCAAATGGCATGCTTGTCTCTTCTGACTCGCTTGCCTCCCCAGCTTCTTAAAAGCCATGGTACCCACTTTTCCTGGTTCTTATCTCCACCACCACCCCCGCCCCCGCACCATGAAGCAGCTCTCATCCTAAACTTTCTGCAGCAAGAACGAATGGTGGCACCAGCTTATGGTTCAACTGCTTCCAAAGAGGCGGGTTCGGAAGAAGTGACTTGCCAAACATTACCCGGCAGGCCCCCAGACCATTCAACTGCACGGTGTAGCCTGACCCCACTCACTTAGGGGCATTTTTTCTTTCCCGCTCCCCATGCCCCGCCCCAGGTTGTGAGGTACCTCGGATATAAGCCCATTGAGGTGTTCTGAAATCTGACGCAGGCTCTCAGTGGATGACAAAGGTCTGGGGGAGGAGACACAGAGGTTCGGGAGACGGTAGCCCGACTGGGGACGAGGGGGGCATGGGCAGGGGCATGCTCCAACTCCCTCAGCCCAGGGGACTGCTGCCCCACTGGGGACACTCACAGCTTTTCATCCGTGGATTTGGTACCATTGTTTAGGTTCTGATTCTGTTTGGGAAGAAACACACAAAAGGGCCATTCAATGTCTGGTGAGTGCTGCCCAGAGGCAGGTGAGCCCAGCTCCTTCCCCAGGACGTTCTGCCTCCCCCAACCTCAAGGAAAAGCCCAGGCTTGATGTCCCCACCCCCCACCCCGTACCCCGGGCCTCAGGAAGAACTCTTGGCTCTTGGAACCAAGCTAGCTGAAAAGCAGAAAATCCAAAGTCGGTCCTTTGAGCAGGGGGCTGTGGGTGAGCATACAGTGGGGCAGCAGGTAATGGGGACCAGGGGCACAAACCTGGGGTGTCGCGTCCTGGTCAGGAGCCAGGACTAAAGTATGACTAGAATCAGAGCTGGAAAGACTACCGGTGCCACTGCCAGGGGAGATGGCATCACGAGCAGGTTGCACGGAAGGAGCGGTGACATCTCCACTAGGGTTCTGTCTGGATGGACTGTTGTCACTACCAGGAGATGTGGTAGCGTTCGCAGGTTGCGCTGAAGGAGTGGTGTGATCTGGGGGTACCTGTCGCAGAGCAGAGCAGGGGGTTAGGAGGCCACGCAGGGGAGAAGGCATCTCACCCCCAAGGATGAACACAGAGGTACAAAGCGGGGAGGGCAGGCATTGCTACAGACAGAGTGACAGCCCCACATGCTGGGAGCCACTGTGGAGTGTGGATTTGGCTGAACCACGCCACTCTCCAACATTTTGGACAGCCACCACTCAAAAGAGCAGCTGCACAACCTCCTCCATGAGCACACGGAAAGATGATGCTCAACTGGAAGCTTCTTTCTGCTCTCTGGACGTTAAAAGAAAATACACCATAGCCACCGCGTGGTCATGGTCCCCACTCCCACCTTCTAGTTCCAGAAACATCTATCCAACCCAGACACGGCCTCGGAAGCCAAAGGGGAAACATGTCTGTCCACTGACTCGTGTCATCCTGGAGGCCGGGAGGGGTCTTCTCTCCTGTGAACAGCAGTTAGGGAAGACCCATCCTTGGATCTAGGACTAGGAGCTGTGAGAAGCCTCTCCCTCGTCCCCACCCAGACCCACTTGTTTGGCCAGAGCTCAAGCCCAATCTCAGGCCTAAAATGGAGTCCAGGCCTCTAGGCTCAGAGGTCTCCTCTGATAGCCGAGGGCAGGTGGGAAAGAAGAGGAAAGATGGCTGATGAGCTGCAGCCTGACAAGGGAAGAACAGTAGGGAGCTGGCGCCTGGCCAAGGCTGGAGCTGGGGAGGAAAAGGCCCTAGCTCTCTCAGGAGAGACGCCTGCCTGTTTTCTAGACCGTATGGCTCTGGGCCCTGAAAAGGCAACTCTATTTCCCTGCTCAGAGTGACTGCTACAGAGCCTGGGAACCTGAGGATGAGCCCAATTGTCTTTGCTGTGACCCCTGACCCTGGGACTGCCAACTTCTATGACTGAGTCCAACAAGCAGTAATAGGAACTCAGCAGTTGCCTAGGCATGAGATTTTGGGAGACTTGCGCAGGCTCTGGGTATTAGAGCTAGGACAACTCAGCAGGGGGGATCAACCCCACCCCCTTTAGGGCTTTCAGAGGGGAGAAGGAAAAAAAATCAATTCCCCCTAACGTTTTCTAGTTCGTCCCTGTACCTTCCATATGTACATAACTCTCAGGGAGTGTTTTGCGAAACAACTTACTCCCTCCCCACCCCGACCTTGGTGGTTTTAAGCCTTATAACTATTAAGTGCGGAAAAAAGTTTCCTCCTCTTCAGAATGCACCGTCTTAGATTTCTTCTCTCACCATATCCCCCATTTGTGGACATCTCTGTTCTGGTCAGGATGCCCCAGCACAGGCCTGCCTGACTGGAGCAGCAAATGCCCCTGGGAAATAGGTACTGATGGAGAAGTTTCAAAGCAGCCAAAGCCAGATGCAGGGCTCTTCAGTTCCCAAGGACAGGAAAACTCGAGCACAGAAGCCTCAGCTACTTGGAGCAGCCTAATCTTGTCCTGAGAAGAAAACAGAGGCGCTCAAGACCCACTAAGCACGGGTCACTGACTGAGCGAAAGCAAGATCCAGTTTTAGGAAGCCTGTAGGCCTGTGCCCACCTTACCATGACATGCCACCACTCTGCGGAGGCCACAGTGTCCGTTGCAGCATTTTGACTAGTGACAGAAATCAACGATCTTCCTAAGGCGGGCCTGCAGCCCTAGCTGAGTCTGGCCGGGGGCCGGCCTGATTCTGGCTTAGCAGAAGTCTCCTGAGCAAGTTGGCCAGGGAGGAATTGCCAACATCACATCTGGAGGAGCTTGTCACCTCGTCCTGGGCACTTGCAGTTCCCTGCCTTCCTCTATGAGCACCGACGGCTGCACCCTACCTGTTCACCCCTCTGCCTGAAATCCCCCATTCACCACATGGTACCCACCACTAAACAAGCTGGCTCCGAGCCCATTCAAAGCCCTTCACTGGGCTTTTAAACGTCACTGCATTCTCTCCGAATGCTCATTTCAGAGGAGGCGGCCTCCACCCACAATCGTGGACTTTCTCCAGCCTGGAGATTCTCAAGGCCCCAGGGCACATGCGTGTCCGGCTGAGTTTTAAGTGATCAGCAGAGGCAGAATGTCATGGTCACTCATCTGTTCGGTTAACCTCACATCCTTTAAAGCCCTTTCCTCTGGGGGAGCGAGGGGGCACAAACAGACAAACAAGTGTGGTGCTTGCAGTTTGAAGCAAACTCATGTTCCCATCTTATGGCATCCACACTCACACCAGAAAGAAAAAAACACACACTTCTCCAGAGTCTACCAGTTTCCTTTGGAGCCAAAGGCTGGAGGGCAGGATCCAAAGATTCCTGCTTAGTTTTTCCGCTCTTCGGGACTGAAAGCACTCAGCCTGGAGGCTTGAAAAGTCCAACCCCCACATTCTCGCTCTGGACGATGTTCCCTCATGACTTTGAACTTTCAAGATTGCACCTCACCTCCTCCAAGATGACAAAAGCTGTGGATCTAAGGTAAAACCCAGAACAAAACCATCATCAACCAAGCAGGTGAAAAGCGGACATGAATAGGCCGGAGTTAATGACAGCAACATAAAATATGCCACAAGCAAAGCAGCAGCGAATCAGAAAGCCGCAGGGGCGTGCACAGCGTGGAGAGCGCGCAGGCAGAGATATCTTGGCACGGCCTCACCTTCCACTTGTCCAATGGGGATAGCACTACCCCATTGGAGCGGTTAAGGTCGGATACCAGCACCTTCAGAATGTCCTCAATCTACAGGAGGCGAAAGGAAAAACAAGGGCAAGGGGAAGAGAGAGAGAACTGGCTTAGGAAGAGACAAAAACTCAGAGGAGGAAGAGGAGAGTGGGATGTTGAAGACTCTCCGGGGAGGGCATCAACACCACGGCCTGCATCCCCCTGCTCAACAGCCAGAGGCAGGAGTCATGTGAACGAGCAGAAAGGCCCACTGAGACGTGGTCAAGGCCCACTGAGGGGTGGGTTGGGAAGTTGTTGGGGAGTCACCTAACGAATGGAGCGCTTTGGTGAATTTGCTCACTGGACCCTCTCCTTGGGTCTGGGCTGCCGGGGATGAATCTGGCAGGCCTGCAGATCCCCGGCTCTGTTTTAAAAACCGGACCTTTGAGGAGAGGTTCCACTGTACAAGCGGGATGGTAGGGAACAGAGAAGTTCAGACACGAATCTGGTCCCACAAGTATCATTTTACTACAGATGAGAAAACTGAGGCCCAGGGGAGAAAGCCATTTTCTTCCAGTCCACCAGGCAAACTGGTAGCAAGCCGACTCAGAAGCCTCATCTTTTCGTCTTAGTGCCAGGTTGCTCAGCAGCACACCCTGGGGCTCTCTGGGCCCTTCCTAAAGGGAGAGCCTCGTGGCCAGAGGCTTTTCTCCTTGGCTTGGCTGCCCCTTGTGGCTGGGGATGAAGAACATAAAGCAGTAAATCAAACAGCTCGGTACTGGACCCTATACAAAAAGATTTACATTACAACTCTACACTTACTTTACAGATGTGGAAAGAGGGGACCAAGGAGTTTAAAGAGTTTTCCCCAAATCACACCCCTAGCAGAAGGAGTAGAATTTAGAGCCAGAATTTTTAAAGTGTAACTGACATTTCCCTCTCCCAACATCCTAACCATCACTCGTTTACGTTAGCACCTCCACCTGCCAGGGGCCAAGCCGGCAAGGACTTACCTCCTCAGATGAGCTACTGTTCCCAGAAGATGTTGATTTAGGGCTAGCTCTATTTTTGATTTTCCGTGTCTTCTTCCTTGACGGTTCCTCCGTAGGAATTCTACCAGTTCGGACCTGATAATCCTTTAACTGCGGAAAAGAAAAGCAGGTGTGCTTCGGTGACTGAGAAGCCCCTGTGTTTATATCCTACATCACAGTTTATGATAAGTCATCTGATGTAACACTGCCAACAACCCTACACAGTGCTGTCAATTTGCCTTTCATGAATGAAAAAATTGATTCAAAAAAGGTTTACGTGACAGATGACATGGCTTTAAAAAAAACGTGTTTGTTTGTTTTTTTTTAAAGGCAATCATGAAATTTTAACTCAGTCTTCTCACTCCAACTCTAAGCTCTGGGTTTTGTGGTGTGAATCCATAGCTTCCATGAGGCAAAACCAGCAGTAGAGTTGGGAAAGTAAGCATTACACGAGCAATAGTAGTAAACATTAAATGAACGAGAATCGTATGCTGTGGGTGAAAAGACAGTGGAGTCCCTTTTCCACATCTATTGCATCTGTGCACCAGGACTTACTCATCAACGGGTCTCCTGGCAGAAGTCTGCAGCACACTCCGGGTGTGTGCAAAGCTGAAGAAGACAGCTCCAGCTTCGTGTCAGGGTTACAGAGGTATGCATGCAAATAGCATCCCTACGTGCATTCACATGAAGCGGTTTTTCTTTTCGAGCCAGAGAATCACAAAAAAACTGATGCATAAAAAAAACAAAAACAACCCTGATGCTTCAGAAACATGTATCATCGTTTATTCTGTGGCTTTTCATCCCCTAAGCCCTCTTCAGAGCACCCTAAGCAGATGATGATGATTTGGCAACGTTTCGAAGCTATGACGTTCACTTTCCGGGGACCTCTCCTACTTCTACAGAAGATTTCACTCCCAAGAACCCAGAATCCTCCATCCTAAGGAATCAGAATGTAAGATGGTTAATGGGGGTGAGGTGGGTAGGGGGAATCTCTGAGGACAGAAACCTGGGAGAAAAACCAAACCAGTGATGTGTAAACGTGAATTTCTGGTGAAGGGTGGGTTTTTGACACTGTCACTGTAGCCTGAAACCTCTCGGGCCTCTGTCCCTTAATCTCAGCTCACCCTTCAAACTATAAATATGCTCCCCACCCGCGCCCCAAAAGAAACCAGACAGGTGACACCAGGGAACTGACTAGGTCTGAACATCAAAGACCAGGCTCCCTGCAGTAACGAACTTGGGGGGGGGGGGGATTAGGACTACATTCCACCTCTCCTTAGCAACGGAGCTGTTACTCTGGGATGGGGGGCAAGGGGGGTGGGGATGGGGAAGCGGGGGCAGAATGGGACCTAGACCAAAGTCCCAAGAGACCAGGAGCCCAAGGAAGCTTGGTTCAGGGTGCCAGGAGACCACACCTACGCGTCCGTGACAGAAGGGGGGGGCGGAACCTGGGGTGGGTCACCAACCCAAATTCGTCTCGGGGTGACAGGCAAGAGGAGGATCGGGCTGGGAAGCCGAGGGGGCAGGACTGAGAGGACTGGAGGGAGGCACCAAGGAGAACCGAGGGGTCTCTCTTCGCGCGCGTCTCAGGGGCATCGCAAACTCTTGGCCGTGGAGCGATAATTGGTGGGGGTCTCGGGATGCGCTGAGGAGCCGGGATTTGAAGTGTTTTAAGATGTCAGGAGACGAGGCCGAAGCCCCCCCACCCCCAGCCCGAGATCACCCACCCAAAGTCACCCGGCAGCGACAAGCGAGGGCAGGGGCTGGGCAGCCGAGGGGGCGGGACTGGCCGAGAGGACAGGAGAGACACCCCAAGAGGGCTCCGAGGGTTCCCCTGTGTGCCTCAGGGACAGCCCAGCCTCGGAGGCCCCGTGCGGTAGTCGGTGGGGTCTCTGGCAGGGCCAGGAAGCCGGGAATCGAGAGCGTTTTTACCATTTTTCTGGCTCTGGCCAATCTCACTTCTCGAGTCTCTTCCGACATCGCCTCTCGGGGCGGGGAAAACCGGGGCCACATCACTAGTTCCGGCAGCCGCAGGAAAGTGCTTCCGGCAGCTACTCCACAGTTTGGCAACTGAGCCAAGAATCAGGCAGCTGGAACTTGAGTCGTGGGTGGGGCTATGTGCTCCCAGCTGATTGGCTAGTTACAGAGACGTAACAGAGGGCGTGGCCAGGCTACCTCACGCCGTGGAGGAGGGGAAAGCCGCCTGGAGGTTGCGCGCGCAGCTTCTGACTCCTCCCACTTATTGGGGGAACCCGGGATTGGGGGCGTGATTTCCCCTCAGAGTGCGCGCGCAACACATGCTGTAGCTTCCTCGTTTTCACTTGGTTCCTCCATCTGGGCGCTGCCATGTTGCCGACCCCACCAAAACGGGGGCCTGGGACCCCAGGGCTCAGGAGGTGGGCGAAGAGCGCACCGAAGCAAACAGCCCTTTTTCTGACTCCACACTCCAACTCGGCCCCAGACTTGCTTGTCCCCGCAAAAATGGCCGGTTCCACCACAGAACACCTTCAGTTCAGACCCTAGTGGTTGAGACGCCCCCACTGCCATCCAAACGTTTTCTTTCTCGAGCGTCGGGACCGCGCTCCCCAGGGTCTATCTCCACCCCACCCGCCACAGCTGGTCCTGAGCGTTCCAACGCCCCAACTGCCGCTCCCCCATCCCACCCTTCTCCCCCAGAGCCCCCTCAGGCCCAACCAGGCTTCTCTCGGCTTCCTCCACAGGGCTCACCCCGGACTCTCCAGAAGTTGCCGCGGGGCCTTCCGATCCCCTGTGAGTACCGCTTCTGCCCGACCCACCCTGCTCTCCCCTGGGTCCTGCAAGCCCCCGGGGGCTCCTCCGCCCCATCCCCGACGGCGGCGTAGACCCACCTGCGGCCCCTTTTTAGGTCTTCCCCCAGCTAAGAAACTTCAGGTCATTGCCAAGTCCCTGCCCTTCCCCCTCAATCCACCCAGCTTAGTTAAAAGCCTGCGAAAATCCCATCCTCCTCCTGAACTCCCAACCCCACCTCGTAGCTCCCTCCCTCACCCAGGCATCCTTGTCAACAGACCCAGGCCTCTCCAATCCTCATTCTAAACAGCCTTTCTGTTGTTTCTCTGGGGAACGGCTTGTACAACGTGGGCGCCTTCCTTCCCTCCCCCCTTCCCCCTGGGTTTTATTTTAAGGTCATTTCATTGGGGACTCTTACAGCTCTTATGAATGTATGCATGGATTGTGATAAGAGTTGTACGAGCCCCTAATAAAAGGATTTAAAAAACGAAACAATCCATACATCAATGGTACCAAGCCTATTTGTACATATGTTGCCATCATTCTTTTCTAGATGTTTACTTTGCATCGAGCCCGTGGTATTAGCTCCTCTTTTTTTCCCTGCCTCCCCTCTCCCACCCTCTTGACCCCTTGATGAATTATAAATTATTATTTTCATATCTTACACCGACCGCTGTCTCCCTTCCCCCTTGGTTTCTGTTGTTCGTCCTCCTGGACGGGGTGTTGTGTGATTATGTGTCCATCATTTAAGCACGCTGGTAGGACGCCTTGCTCCTAGGATACTTTCCTGGGGGATATATGTTGGTATTGCTTTATCTCAGAGAAATTAGGAAGCCAGTAGCTACTTCCTATGTTTTCTCTGGGATTCCTTGTCAGCATGGTGTCTTGATTCATTCTGATTCATCTGATTCACTCCTTCCTCCACCCCACCCTTTTTTCTTTTTTTCTTTCAAGTGTTCACAAGTCTTTACTCCGCTTACTTGACCTACATTATCTTGTTGAATCTGGCCAGCAACCTCTGAGGCAGGGCCTGTTACCATCCTCTTTTGCCATGTGAGAATTCTTGAGTTTCAGAGAGCTGAAGCAGTTTCCGTCCAGAGCCTGAGGTCTGGTCCCCTCTGCTTTCTCTCGGCCTCTCTGATGAAGGTGCTTCACCTTGGTCTCCTTGGCTTTCTCTCTACCTGTTTGCCTGCCTGCTCTGCCTCCTACTTTTTTCTCTCCAGCCTGGCCTCTCTTTGGACATTTAGACATTTGACATTTGGTTCTAGGGTTTACATTTAGGCCATTAATCCATCTTGAGTTAGTTTTGTTACATGGTATGATATATGGATTCTGTTTCATTCTTTTGCAGGTGGAAATCAAATTTTTTCCAGAACTGTTATTGAAAGGGCTATCTCTCTCCCACTTAATGTGTTTTACTCCTTTATCACAAATTAGATACTTGACTGTATTTCTGGGTCCTTAATTCTAATCCATTGGTCCTCATGTGTATTATACCAGTACCAAGATTTTTTTATTACCTTGGCTATGTGTAATAGGTTTTAAAGTGGGAGTGAAAGGCCTCCTAGTTTGTTTTTTAACTGTGTCTTATTTATCCTGTTTCTTTCCTTTCTACATAAAGTTGGTAATTAGTTTTCCCATTTCTTTGAAGAACTGTGCTGGGATTGGATTAAATTGTATTGGATTTATAAAGTGTTTTTTATAATATTGACCTTTTCACTACATTTAGTCTACCTATCCAGGAGCATGGCTGATTGTTGTATTTTGTGTTTCTTGGAGGTCACTCACTCTTTCACTTGACAAAGATTGAGTGCCTACTCTGTGTCATGGGAGAAAGATGAGGCTTCCTACTCCCATAAAGAGTTACCGTTTCAAAAGCCCCAGGGGAAGTTCTGCGTTGTCCTGTAGGGTTGCTATGGAGTCAGAATGGACTCATAGCAGTGACGCTGTAAGCAAAACAGAGGCCCACCCTTTACAGATTTTACACATCAGTAAGGGAGACAGTGGAAATGGAAGAGAAATGTAGATCAGGTCATGACAAAACAAAACCCACTGCCCCTCAAGTCCATTCCAGCTCACGCAACCCCATAAGGCAAGGCCGAGCTACCCCTGGGATTTCCAAGGCTGGAATCTTCATGGAAACAGACTGTTCCAACTTTTTCTGCTGAGAAGCTGGTGGGTTTTAACCGCCACGCTTTTGCTTTGTGTCTAAAATAGGTGGCCCTATTTTAGACAGCGTTGGTCAGGGAAGGGCTTTCTGATGAGATGGCATGAGACCTGAACATAATAAAATAGGGAGCTAGGTGGAGGAAGAGCCTAATCGGGTGTTTTATATTTGAGACTGGGCTACATGTTCCATGATGACTAGAGCCTGCCTCCACATCCTTATTTCTGTGATGAATGGTAAATAGTCTATGTGTTTCTTTAGGTACTTTCCATATTGAATCAGATTTTTGTTTGTTTCTTCATATTTTAATAAGTATACGTTTGTGTATTCTGAAGCAGGACTGTCCATTGTGCTCTGTAATAATAGACAGGTAATTATGATGTTAAGAGTTCCCTGTGAGGGCCTTCTGGCTCGTCTGCCCTCTGTCAGCAATAGGAAGAGGTGGGCCAGTGCTGGCGGGAGAGAGCCCTTGAGTAGCCCCTGAAGTGCTGGTTGTCAAATAGGGCTTCGGACAGCAAAACTGGAGCCAAATCTACAGCTTCACAGGCTCCCGAGGTGATGCCTGCATACAAGAATCTTACCTATAGGAATCACCTGGGGAGCCTGTGAAGCTGTAGATTTGGGTTCATCACATCTGGGTTGGAAACTGACTTGATATCTTCCCCCTAGCTGGGAGCCTATCCCCATGCTTGGCACATAGTGCTCACTCTTGATTAAAAGCCACTGACTTAAGAACAGGCACCAACTGCCTCCTGGGACCTCCTTGTGTAGCCTGTGCAGACCGTTCATCCCACATGGATTTCCTGGTGATCAGCCTGTGCCAATCACTAGCTTATGCCGCTTGGAGAGGGGGGAAGGACCAAGATGAGTTGTAGTCCCAAGAAAGTTTCTTGTTAACTCATAAGATTATAAACCCAGCGATATAGCCATGTGAGAACAGAACCCAAAGAGGTGCCCTGAAGCAGAGCCTCAAGGGTCAGACAGGCAGCCAGAATGGGCCCATTAGGATTGGGTTCGACTGGGAGTAAAAGAAAACCCCAAATACTCTTGGGGTGACCAGTCGTGAGCAACCCAGGCCTCAATCTTGTTCTGTAGCTTCTCAACTTGTAGCTTTTAGTTTATCATTCAAGATAGCTGTTCCACTCCAACCTGAACCCACGTGCCAGGAAGGCGGCTAGGCCGGGGAAAGCACGCTCTCCCGGTTGAAGAGAAAGGACGTATTGCTTCTGATTATCTTTCCCTTGCTGGGACTTCGTCCTGGGCCCACACCCAGTTGCCAGGGAAGCTGGAGAATGTAGCATTTTGAGGGGGGACGGTGCTTCCTACTACCAAGACAAGGAAGAAGACGGGGCAGCTTTGCAGGCTCTGCGTTGTAGATCCTTGTGGTCCGTTCAGCTAATGACTGTCTGTGCTACTCAGCGGCCGTCTCCCAAGTCTAGCCAGGCTGATGGGGCCTCTGAAGAGCTTCAGCAGCTTGACATTCAGAAACTGAAGGAGAAGAGGGACATGCTGGACCAGGAGATCTCCCAATTCAGAGCTGAGTATGTTGTCTTGGGTTCCTTGACATGGTTAGGGTAACTTTCAAGTGGTGCCCCATCATACCTGAAACCCAGTCATAGGAGTTTGGCGGAAAACAAGGCTATGCCTCTGCATGCAGAGTATGTGGGTGGCCTCTCAGACAGGGAGGCTGACAGGCTTGGGAAGGGTGGGGCCTCAAACCAGAACTCCAGCCACAAGGTAGAGACTTGGCAGTCTTAGAATTGACACTTCACATTTGAAGGGATCTGATTACTCAGCTTGGATCACATGCCTTCTCTGAGTCACTCAGCTTTGATCAGAGCTACATTGACCAGTACTGCTAGGGACACCTTCTTAAGGATACAGAGAGCATTTTCTAGGAATGATGGGGTAAGCAGATACTCCTGTCCTACGTCAATAAGCCCCCTGGGGGCAGGGTCTGTCTGTCATCACTCTAGTCCCCAGTGCCAAGCACCTAGTAGGATGGACCTTGTTCGATAGATGCCTCGTTACTGTTTGAGACTTTGGTCATCATTCTGATTTCTGAAGGAGCCTCTCCCTTTTGCTCTCCCCAGAGGCTACAATGTGGATGAACTGCAGGACCACATCTCCCAGCTCCATGAGTATAATGACATCAAGGATGTAGGCCAGATGCTGCTGGGCAAACTAGGTGAGCTGCAGGACTCCAGAGGCCCGGCCTGGGCCTGGCGTGAGTCCCCACATCCCAAGTGGTGACTCGATCTTACGCCCGTGCCTTTCTATTTGCACACACGTGCACGTGCGCTCACACACCACCCCCACCCTTCTTAGCTGCCCCAGTCTCTACACAGGACAGTCCTATGAGGCTCAAAGTGGTATTTGAACACATGTCTCACTGAGCAGGTGGGTAGAGCCCAGCTGTAGCCCAGGCACACTGTCCACCCAACTGGGAGGGAAGGAAACATGTGGTCAGCCTCCTGAAAGCCTCTCGCTCCGTCCCACCCAGTGGCTCATACTGGTGGGCACCTGAATTCCCAGAGGCCCGTGATCACTTGGTATAGTGATCTGCACAGCTTCTGTATGTGTGTCAGCAGTCGTTCCAGAAATGCCTGCCAGCAGCCGGGACTGGGTCCTCGAGGAGTTGGGGGAAACAGAAGGAGGGAAGGGAGTAGGAGAGAAGAGTAAGTAGTTGAGAACAGCTCTGTGGGTAGAATCCAGCTCGAGACCTCCCACTGCCAGGTCGCATGGAATAGTCATTGAGGGCCCCAGGCTCTCGACAAGGCTGGGGTCACTTGAGGGAACCACACGCTTAGGTTTTGGTTGTGGGAGTCTGGCTGTAGATGGCCAATAAGTAAATGAACACCTGAAAATTAATGACGAATGTGTTCTGTGCTATGGAAGGCCATAGAGGGCAGAAATGGAGGTAGGTTTGAACAGGGAGCCTGGCAGTTGGTGAGACACAGTGGTCAGGGAAGGCCTCCGAGGAGAGCTCTTCCCATGGGATGGGAGGGCGGGTGGAAGAGCGTTGGAGAGAGACTAGCAGGAGAAGCAGCAGCGTGGACTATGGCTCTGAATGGGTCAGAGGTTGGCACACAGGCATGCTGAGAGTCCGGAGTTGTCACAGGGGTGGGATGAGACCCCGTTACACATTAGGCAGATGACTTCCACTGTCCTGTGGGAAGAAAGGCTCACAGGAGCTACCTTTCACTCCCTTGAAAAATGCAGTCAGGGAAGAGGGAGCCCTTCCGGTCAAGTGCTGAGAGGCACTCAGCTGTGGGCAGGCCAGGCCAGCCCTGTAAGAGGGGAAGTAGCAAGGAAGTTACCTGAGCCAACGAGAGAAGAAGGTAGAAAGGTTCAGGTGTGAGCACTAACTTGACGCCACAAGTGTTGGTCATGGGTTAGGACAGCGACCGTGGGGACAGGGCTTGGGCCCGATCCCTCCCATTTTCCCTGTCTTCCTTCAGCTGTGATCCGAGGCGTCGCCATCAAAGAGTTATATCCGGAATTTGATCTGGACGTGAATGACTGAGCAGAGGGTGCTGAGCCCCTGGCCCATGACCAGCTGGGACGGGCAGATGTGACTGTGAGCAGCAGTGAGCCAACCGAGACCCCTGCAGGGTTTCCAGAGTGAAAATGTCAGAAGCCGAGGCCGAGTTGGGAGGGGAGCCGGGAGGAAGGGTGGCGTACAGGCATGCGTCCTATTTATAAATAAATGTGTGCGCATCGATCTTGGTGCCTATACATTCCTTCCCGCACCTTCCTGACAAGTCCTTCGTCTTCCTCAGGAGCAAGAGAACCCGCTTTGTCATGTGTCAAGTGTCCATGTGCCGGGCCCTGAGCCTGAACTAAAAGGGGAGCAGAATTGGTAAACCCTACTTTCATTGTTCACTGCGTCATGGAAAGAATCAGATCCCCAAAGTGTGGGATGGATCCAGTCCTCACCTTCCCCCTGCCATCCTCGTGGTGAGCCTCCCAAGTGGCTCTCCCTCCAACCCTCGCCACACAGAGCTGGGGCCGCACCCCCAAGTTAGATGGGCCCCGTCTCGGTGATCTGGTGCTGTGACAGAAATACCACAAGCAGGCCGCTTCTAACGAACACATGTATTTGGCACCGTTTTGGTGACTAGTCACCCACATTCAGGTTGCCAGCCCTAGGGAAAGACTCCCCCGTATCTTTGTCTCAACTTGTCTAGCTTTCTTTGCCGTGTGCCTCCTTGGGGACCTCCGCATGGCCTCTGCCCCCATTGGCGATTGTATCTCTGTGCCTCATCTGCTTTTTTGTGCTTCAAAAGTCCTTGGGTTTCACACAGCCAAGGTAGCCAAAGCAGCCTGGTACGGGGATGGCAAAAGATACGTAGACTAATGGAACAGAAAAGAACCCAGAACTACAGACAACGGATCTTTGACACAGTGCTGAGACATTAGATGGAGAAGAGACGGCCCCATCAACACGTGGTGCTGGCCACGTTGGGAATCCATTGACCGAAGAATGAAACAGGACCCATACTTCACTCCATAGAACGAAAAAGAATTTAAGGTGGACTAAACATCTAAATGCAGAACCGATGACAAGGATCTACATGTGACCTCCTCCCTGGGGGACGGACAACAGAAAAGTGGGTGAAGGGAGATGTCGGACAGGGTAAAATGTGACAAAATAATAATTTATAAATTATCAAGGGTTCATGTGGGGGGGGGGGGGGGGGCGAGGAGGGAGGGGAAAAATGAGGACCTAATGCCGGGGACTTAAGTGGAGAGGAAATGTTTTGAGAATGATGAGGTCAATGAATGTACAAATGTGCTTTACACAATTGATGTATGGATGGATGGTGATAAGAGTTGTATGAGCCCCTAATAAAATGATTTAAAATTAAACCGCTGACAAATGTCCTCATGCAACAGGCAAGAGTCTCAGGCAGAGAAACATAGTAACAGCCTTACCATCAGGCAGAGACCATTGTAATCTTGATTATGCTGGATCAAACTGGGTACTGGGCCAGTTGACCTCCCTATAACGCCAACCTGAATTTGTTCTAGGTATAAGAATCTTTTCCTTGTTCCATGACAAAAATTTCTTCCCTGAGACAATGGACAGTGTAAGACACAAAATAACAACAATAATATATAATTAATCAAGGAGTGTATGCACAGAGATAATAACTGATACAGGGTTTATGACAGATGCAGGGGTGCGGGTGGGAGACAGGGCGGTAAAGGGATCTCAGGAGTAAACAATGAAGGCAGGAGGGAGGGTGCACTAGAATTGATTGTGGTTACACAACTCATTTTAAAGGCAAATGGGGGGTGGGGGAATGTTCTAAAATTGTGGTAATTTTATAATTCTTGATATGATTGAACTATTGTATGATATGTGGATTAGGTGCCAATAAAACTTGGGGGGGCAAAAAAAGATCTAAATGCAAACCCTAGAACTATAAAGATCATCAGTGATCCCCCGAGCACCAACCTCCATGCTCAATGTAAACAGCTCAATCAATTAAGAAATCAAGGTGTGCAAAGGAGCAACTCATGGATTACAGCTCTGCAGTTGGGCCGTGCTCGAATAAACTCTTCCTATCAACAGTACCTTAAATTCTATGCCAGTGGATAAATTATTATTGTAAATCATTTTATTGCCTCTTACAGCTCTTATAACAATCCATTGTGTCAAGCACATTTGTATATATGTTGCCATCATTTCCAAAACATTTTCTTTCCTCTTGAGCCCTTGGTGTAAGCTCCTCCTTTTTTTCCTCCCTCTCCTACCCTCCCACCCTCATGAACCCTTGATAAATTATACATTGTTATTTTCATATCTTACATCTGTCTCCCTTCACCAGTGTTTCTGTTGTTCATCACTCTGGGGGGGGCGGGGCAGGGTTATATGTTAACCATTGTGATCAGTTCCCCATTTCTCTCCCCACCTTTCCTCTACCTTCATGGTATTGCAACTCCCATTATTGCTCCTGAGGGGTTTGTCTGTCCTGGATTCCCTGTGTTTCCAGCTCATATCTGTACCAGTGACCATGCTCTGGTCTAGCCAGATTTGTAAGGTAGAACTGGGGTCATGATAGTGGAGAGGAAGAAGCATTAAAGAACAAGAGGAAAGGTTTATGTGT